AACCTATACATTGCTGGAAGGAATGTAAAATGGTGCAGCCACTGTGGAAAACAGTGTGATGATTCCTCAAAATATTAAACAGAGGGTTACCATATGACCCATATGTCCACAGAAACTTGTACACAAATATTGATAGCATTATTCATAATAGCCAAAAAGTAGAAACAACCCAAATCTTTATCAACTGATGAATGGGTAAACAAAATGTGATATATCCATATATTGGAATATTATTTGACTATATAAAGGAATGAAGTACCAGTACATGCTACAGCATGAATGAACCTTGAAGACATCTTCCTAAGTGTAATAAAACAGTCACAAGGGACCACATATTATATGATTGAGTTTGTGTAAAATGCCCAGAATAGGTACATCTAGAGAGACAGTGTATTATTAGTTTCCGGTAGCTGCTGTAACAAATTATGACAGACTTGAAGGCTCTACTCTCTGGGCCCATGGCTTTGGCCTCTTGTCCCAAGGCTCTACCCTTGTGGTCATCTTTCCTTTTCCTGAGTGGCACATGTTTGCAGCTGAGTAGTTTTATCGGCCTGTTTCCTGCCTGTAGAATTTTCGGAGTCTGACGCATTTCTTTGATTTCATCCAGTCTATGTCCTTTTCAGTCCAAGCTGGTAATGTTTCTGCTGGTATAACACACAAGAACCTTGTGGGTCTCCTGTGTATATGACAGGATTCACATCATTAGACAAGAGGTTTCTCCACAGATGATTCCTGGATAATTTCATCCCTATTCCTGGCTTCCATGAGATGATTGAGGGGATTCTTGAATCACATGCCTAATCTCTTTGGCACTAGCAAAATTTGTCCAGCCCCCTTTGGCGTTCTCTCCAGAGCACACTTTCCTAACAGTGAAATCTCCTAATTTTAGCATTTTTTTGCAATCTGAATAGCCTGGGAATTTCCTAAATCATCCAGTCCAGGTTTCTTTTAGCTTAACAATTCTTCCCTCAATTTATCTCTTTTCTCTCACTTTTTTTTTTTTTTGGTGAGGAAGATTGACTCTGAACTAACGTCTGTTGCCAGTCTTCCTCTTTTTGCTTGAAAAAGATTGTTGCTGAGCTAACACCTGTGCCCATCTTCCTCTATTTTGTGTGTGGAATGCCACCACGGCATGGCTTGATGAGCAATGTCTATGTCTGCACCTGGGATGCAAACCTGTAAACCCCAGGACTCCGAGGCAGAGCACGCACACTTAACCACTATGCCACCGGGCTGGCCCCTGTCCTCTCACATTTTACTATAAGCTGTAAGGAGAAACCAGGCCAGACCTTCAATGCTTTGCTTAGAGGTCTACTCAGCCAAATATCCAGATTCATAGCTTGTAAGTTCTGCCTTCCACATAACTAGGATATAGTTCAGCTAAACTTTCTGCCGTTATGTAACCAGGATTCTCTTTCCTCTAGTTTCCCAGAACACGTTCCTCATTTCCTCTCAGTCCTCACCAGAAAACACCTTCAATATTCATCTTTCTACCAACATTCTGCTTTTAATGGTATATGCATTCTCTAAGACGATACGAGCTTTCTTTACCAGTCTCCCACTCCCTTCCTGAGTCCTAACTGGCAGTTTTTCACAACATCCATGTTTCTGCCACCAGCATTCTCTGTTGCCTGACCTGTTCCTGCCTGCCCCTTAGCTGTTGTGAACTGAGAGTTAGATTGAAAGAGCCAAGGGTGCGGCAGTCTTGTTAGCAAGAATGTGTCTGAAGTGGTGGCTTACATTTGTATTTCTGTGTGTTTTGATTTCCCCAGAAGACCACAGCTCGTCAGGAGTTGGAAAGTTACAGCCTGACTCTTCTCTTATAAAGCTACCCATACACTTACCATCTGATGGCAGTGCAAAATAGTAATTGTCCTTAATTCTGGCTTTTCTTCCACATTTATTAGGTGGAATTTTTCTGCAAAGAAGGGTTTTCTTTCGTCAACTAGGGATATTTGCTTGCTTGAAATACAGCCTGTTCAGGACCACCAGGAATGCCTTCCTGTTCATTGCAAGGAGTTGCTGTCCTTGGTACCCCCAGGGGTGACCTTTGGAGCTTGGGGTGGGGCTGAGGATGCATTCTCTTCCTGAAAGTAACATTATGAGCTTGGGCTCTGCAACTAGTGTGTTTCAGTCCATTGCTGTTGTTCATTTTGGTGCTTAGATGGTCCCACCCTCACCAGGTGGTGCCCCCAAGCACCCTCCTGTCCCTCGTGGGGCCCTTTATCGTGACTTCTGTGGTCGTTTGTTGCTTGCTCGCATCCTGGCCCGGAATCGGCCATTCCTCTAAGGAGCCTTGGCTCCTTTGTGAGGGTGAAATGGTGTTTAGGGGGTGTGCTGTAGGCACTGGGCTGCTCATGGCTTTTGCACCTTTTTGTGAACAGAGTTAAGTGATACATTTTTGAAATAACCGCCACCTCAAAACCCCCACAATTTCACATTGATACTTCCAATTCAAATTTAACCTGATGGGTTTACTTTCATTTTAAACATGTATATCTTTTCTCATACTATAAATATCTTAGCTTCTAATATCATTAGCATAATTACTTGCTTTACTCTAAAATACTTTCAGAAGAAACATTCTAATATTGCCACTAATATTAGTAACAAATAATAAAGTGTGGGATGAAGTTTAAGATTTCTTTGCAGCTCTGTTTGTCCTTAAAATATATCATTACTACTAAGGACATACAGTTTGTTTTGTTTTGTTTTGCTTTTGTTGTTTAAAATGATTACTCTAAAGAATTCTTTCCTCTATATGGTTTTGACACCAACTTGATATCCAGCTCATATGTTTCGATTTATTTTGAATTTTTAGGAGTTATACTTTTGTTTTTATCTTGAATTTGGTAAAAGATTTACGCATTTCCAGTATGAAAACCATGTAACAAGATCTCATTTCCAGCCCAGTTCCTGATGCCTCTGTCAGGGGTAACTGTTCATCTCTGATTTTGGTGTATCCTTCTGGCATTTCCTCTTGCAGTCGTAAGCAAATATTTCTATTCAGATTCCCCATGTCTCTTATACAAAGGGTAGTGTGTAGTGTGTGGCATGTGGTATTTTACATGGAGCATGTGTGTGTCCCTCCTCCTACTGCTCACTCCACTTCCATGTGGGGAGATGTACCTCACTCCTGTCATTGGTTGGGCCCTTGTGCAAGACTTGTCAGGTCAAGCAAGTGTTTAAACTGTATAAAGCTTTTTTTCCCATGTTTCTATCTTCTCATTTACACACCAGGCATGTTAGTAGTACCTGCCTCATTGGGTGGTTGGCAGAATTAAATGCATTAATATCTGTAAAGTGTTTGAGCTGTGCCTGGCACCTTCTAAGTGCCAGAGTGTTAGCTCTTATTGTGTGGGGTCTGATACTACCCAGCCTCACATGCCACCTGGACATTTAAATTTTTTTTTTTTTTTAAAGATTGTTACCTGAGCTAACAACTGTTGCCAGTCTTTTTTTTTTTCTGCTTTTTCTCCCCAAATCCCTCCAGTACATAGTTGCATATTTTTTAGTTGTGGGTCCTTCTAGTTGTGGCATGTGGGATACCGCCTCAGCATGGCCTGATGAATGGTGCCATGTCCATGCCCAGGATCCGAACCAGTGAAACCCTGGGCCGCTGAAGCAGAGTGTGCGAACTTAACCACTTGGCCATGGGGCCAGCCCCCATGGATGTTTAAATTTTTGATGTTGAGTGGGGAGATGGTAAAGACTGAGTGAAGATAAAGGAGCTTACATGTTTTTCAGCCCTTTTTCTGGAGCAGTCCTGGAGAGCTGGGGCGCCTTGGAACAGAAGCGGGTACCATAATCTATTTGTCTGGATGGGGTCTGGGACTTGTCACAACTGGGGAGTCAGGACACCAGCATCCGACAGAGTTGGGAGCTGGGGACATAAAAGAGCCCCAGCCTGGGGGAGATCAGAGGCGCAGTTTCAGATCCCAGAGTCTTCTGTGGAAAGGAGCGCCTGCAACAGACCTGCAGCACTCAATTTCCGATGGTTCCTGGGTGACCTGGCTTTTGCAAGGATTTTGGAGATGTATTTAACCTACAAGAAAGCTCTTTGGCGGCAGTGTGACTAACTGCTTCTTGTGCCCGTTTCCACTGTCAGGTGGTCACATCCCTCCTTCCCTTCCTCCCCTTCAGGCTTCCTCATGCTGGTCTGGTCCCAGAGCCTCCACTCCACTGGGCAACAGGGCAGCCTCAGCTGGGAGCAGACCATTCTGGCCGTCCTGCCCTGGGCCGGAGAGTGGTGCTGGGACTGCAACATGGTGACATCTGCCCACCTGGCTCTGAGCTTTTGGTCTTGGCTCTGTTCGAAGGGCTTTCGGGACATGCTCCTGAGCCCCATTTTATGTATCTTGTGTCTAAGTAAAAGTATCTGGTTGCTTTTTAAACCTGCTTCCTCTTGTTTTACCTTTAATGGAAGTGGGGAAAACTCAAGAAATTCTTTTAAGGTATTATTGACCTAAAAGATGGCCCAAGGCCTTACCAAGATGTCAGACTAGGAACTGGCAAGCTCCTAGTTCTCGTCTCCTCGTGCTTGGCCACATCATCTCCCGAGCTTCCTTTAGCTTCTCCACTTCCCACTCCCCGCACCGCTGTCCCTCAAGGAGCAACCTTGGCAGGGTGTCCACACACAGGAGCCCTGACTCTAGGGGACCCGCTTTACTCCCAGCACATTGTCTTTCCTACCAGAAAGTGGTGGGGACAGTCAGAAATTGGGAGTGTTGATGATACCTTCTGAGTGTCCCTTTGCTCCAGCAGAGCCTCACTGTTCCTCCTTCTGTACCTGCCCTCTCTGTATGTGCTTATCATCCCAGCTTTGCCTTTTCCCCTCATGTTTTCCTCTGCTGATTCCTCTGGTGGGGTGAAGTTTGGAGATAGATGAGGGATAATACAGCTTTAGAAAGTGTGCTTGTATTTTTACATTCATCTGAGACCACTTTCATTTTATTTCCCTTTCCCCTGGAGGTGTTCTTCTGACAGTAGGTTCACTGTTTGTCCCTGAGCTCACAGGCGTGTGTCCCCGGGATAGTACGACCACAGGTGCTGCAGCTGGGTCCTGAGCTGTGTGGGTGTCATCAGTCTGCTGTCTAGTGGACTTAGGAGGAGGGTCGTGTGAGCAGAGCAGAGAGTGAAGGCTCTGCCCTTTTGGGGCTGCCTTGCTGGAGGATGGGCATTTCACGGACGAGAAGGATGGTACAGCTTCTCCAAAATAAGATTTTTAACTCAGACATCCTTTCCTAGACCACAGGAGAGATTTCCCTGGAACACCCAGGAGCGAGTGTCCATGGTTGCAAAGAGGACAGTTGGTGGAAGGCAGGCCCTGTTGGGCTGTTCCAGAAGCATGACAGCTGGGACAAAGAGAGCCTTCAGCAGTGACCTTCACCTGCCACCCTTGAGTGGCGCTTTACCCTCTCCCTTTTTGGGGCTGTAAATTCAGATTAACACAGATCTCTGAAAAGCACAGCCAGGGGCGCATGTGCAGATTTGCATGCAAGTCTGACGTCAGCAGTGAGAAAGCAACAGGCTGGGTATTAAAAGTGAAAGTGCTTTGATACAAACAGTGCAAAGACAAAAGTGGCCCGCCCACATCTACTTCTGACATGCCTTGTGACCTTAGGCTGGCCCCTCGTCTGCTCTGTGAAGAGAGGGATACCTGAGCTGGCTCACGGCCCTCTCAGCTGAGTGTTGCAGCAGAGTGGAAGGAGCAGCAGTTTGAAGTCTCTTGGTACCCTTCTTGGTTTTTTGTTCCTTTGTGCCTTTTGTTGGTCGGCTGAAGCTGAGCACTGACAGCTTTTCTCTGAGAGATGGATTCGAGAGGAGGCCCAGCCGGGCAGAGCCTTTCCTGTGAGTGGGCCTCAGCTCGGCAGCCTTTCGGGAAGAACCCTTGGCTTGGTGGCAGGGCAGTGAGAGGGGGCAGGAAGGGGCGTCATTCAGCTTCACTTCTTCATCTGGGATTAAACTGCTTCCTGTTTTTACTTTTAGGATGAATACCTTTCTCTCGTGGCCAGGCTCATTATCCATTTTCGAGACATTCGTAAGTAAAATTTTACATTTCTGGGTGGTTGTGATTGCTGTGAGATGCTGGCCCTGTTGTGCAGCAGTGAAGCCTTGGCTCCAGTGCCTGAGTCAGAATGTCTGTGTAAAAGCGCCTGCTTTCTGGGAAGTTCTTCACTGCTTTGCATTTGATTCCATACTTCCCATCCTCCCAGAGCCTCAGCCTCAAAAATGCTGATTCGCGCATAATGGAAATGTTGGCCTTGAAGTGTCCTAAACTGGACTGCTATTTACTTGTCCATTTAATGTTTTTCAGAGGGCTGTTGCTTTGATCTCTAGGCAGTTCTTAAATAAGCAGAGTTTACCCTAGGCCGGAAACTTCCTTCTCTACTACTTAGTTTAATTCACTAACTAGAATGGAGGTCTGACCTACACGTGTGTTCCTGTCAGGCTGGGAGCTTCTAAGGCCGACTTCCTAAGTCCTGCCTCTAGCTCCCTGCCCTGGTAAGGGTCGCCTGGCCCCTGCTGCGTGCCACCTCCTCTGACTACCAGAGTCCTGCTGTGGTCCTGTCAGCCAGGCCCAGCAGCAGCCGTGTCTCTTCAGAAGTGAGGGTGTCATTGCATTCTGGGGTCAGGGGTCTTTGTGGTCTTCTGTGTGTTATGCATAAGCATGTAGACACTGAGTGTTCCTGGATGGCCACAGTCTCTAAAGGAAGCTGAGCTGGCTGGCCACTCTGGAGTTTCAGCCACTAGCACCTCCTGTCTCCCTGCAGTGGTGTGACCACAGGAGATGGGTTCCTCTTGACACAGCCTGTCCTTGGATCATGCACTTGGCAAGTCCAGTCACTACTCCCCCATGGTTGTAGATGCAGCTGCAGCTTCAGTGTCAGGAATCTCAGACAAAGGGAGATACTAGGAATCCTAGGGCCCCTGTTTGGCCAGGAAGTTTTGTGTCTTTCTGCGCTAACTTTTTACCAGAATGGCCAGCAAGATGAACTTCACTTGATTTCACATTCTTTGTTGTGTTTGGGAAGGTCCAGCGGTGTTTAGAACAGGAGGAATTGGAACAAGGAGCCATGGAATGAGCAGCCTGGATAAGATGCCCTGGTTTGTTCTGGCAAGGGGCTCTGCTGTTGGAACTGGGCTGCCCTGTTGGGGGGGTGGCCCTGGCATGGCAGTGTACACAGACCTGTGGGCCTAGGGCATCCACGGCTGTCTCACAGACTCATTGTAAGAGACTGGAAGTGGTGTGGCAGTGCCCCATGTGATGCTGGTGCCAGCCTGATCTGGCTTCTAGCCGGCCTTGGACAGACTCAGTTTCCTCATTTAGAAACTGGAGATGCTGCCTCACCAGAGTGGGCTGAAAATGGAGATGTTGTGGAGTTCTCAGCACCAGTGTGGTCCCATCTTGGATCCTTTGAGCTCTCCTGTTTGCTGCTCCGGGCCCAAGCTGAGACCCTGGACCTGGGAAGGAAGGAGAGCCAGAGTAGGCCCAGAGCAAGCCTCTGCCTGGGGGATGTTCTCTGAGGCCCCAGGTTGACCATGAGGTGGTTCTGTACCCTCTTTCCCCGGCCCCCTTATGTGTCAGTGCTGCCAGGAGTCGGACAGATGCGCGCACACGTACATACATACATACCTACCCACCTACTTACTCTGAAGCTCTGAGGTATGTTTTGTTTAGTTTCTAGGGAGGGTCAACTCAGTTGACCTCAAATGACCTCTGGGCAAATGCCTGCAAAACTGACTGATTGTGAAAATATGTGGTTATATAAAACTTTGTTTACTTTGGGTTTTTTTTTTTTTTTTTTTTTTTAATAGATAACAAGAAATCTCAAGCTTCTGTCAGTGGTAAGAGTTTTTCCTTTTTGAATTAAAGTTTTTCCCAACCTCGGATCTGGGGTGGCAGAAATGAGGTTGTGGATGCTGTGCACTCATGGGGTTAGGCTAGAGGAGAAAGTTCACAGAAAGAAGGGCTCTGGCTGGCCATGGGATCTGTGGAGCTAGGGCTGCCCCCTCCTCCATCCTTCCTCTTCCCTGCAGACTGTGAAGTCAGACAATACTGCCCCATCCCATTTCATTCAAATGTTTTTGCCCAGCAAAAAGATGATAAAAACCCACACAATTATTGAGACATTATCTAAGATTTTGAGCTCTCTGGGAGAGAACTATTATGGTATATTCAGTATAATAACCTATAGTAGTATTTCTTAGAGAAAAGCTGTGAATTCACTTTCTTAAGTTACAGAGTTTTTTTGTAAATTAAGAATTATCATTTTTTATTTTTTAATTTCAGGGCTTTATCACATGGGAACCCTGTTGATTTAGCTCTGGTCTCGCTGACTGAGCTGCCAATGAAGGGGTTTAGCAGACCAAGACGGCCAGCTAAGCTCCAAGCATGTCAGGAAGGAAGCTAGCCCGGCATGCTGTTGGTCTTAGCAACAGCAGCAGAACTGTAAATGCCAGGCGCCCATGCCTGCCTGCTGAGCTGGCTGCACCTGCCTGCGTGGGCCCTGTCTCCTGCAGGGTCTCTTGGCACGTACCGAGATTGTCTGCTGTTCCAGGGCCAGGAGGGATCATGAGCACGTGGCCAGGAGAATGTCCGGGTTCTTGGCATTGGAGTGTGGGGTCCTGGGTACCCAGTTCTGTGTCATGGTGCACTGGTTGGGCCACTCCTGTCTGCAGGTAGCCGTTTGCTCAGAGTCTATGCTGTTGTGATGAGAGCCTTGGGTTCCTCGTCCCAGGTCACAGCATTGCTCACTGAGCTGAGTTCACCATTGGCGAGCGTCATTGTGCTGCTCGGTGCTCTTTGGACCCCTCCTGCATGTCTTAGCTTGTTCTGGTGTGATGGCCTGGATGCAGGGGTTTGTCCTGAGAACTCCTCAGTGAGGGTCCTGCACAGACTTAGCAGAGATGGGCTTCTGGTGTGCAAGGAGACTTGTAACCTCCCTGGGAGAACATCTGTGCCTCCCCCCCAGCCCCCTCCTCCCCATTCTTGGCCCTCAGGCTCTCGCTTCCTGTGAAGAAGAGCCCATCATCTTTTGTTGTCTTTGGACTTCCCAGCTGCATCTCACCCAGCAGTAGAGGTGGACAGCCAAGAGGGGCAGCACTGCTGCCTGCCCTCGAAGGCTCAGTGTTAGGACCCTGTCGTCGAAGGTCCCTCAATGTTAGGACCCTGGTACAGGCCAGGCTAGGGTATGGGATATGTTCTCTCTTCAGGAGGGCTCATGGTCCAGGTGCGGTGACAGACACACTCCTGGCCCTTGGGGTGTGACAGGCAGTTGGGCAGGGGTTTGGGAGGCTCCTGGGCCTCTGGACTCTCACGTTTTGGGGCTTTGAGGGACTTGAGCCTGGAGACAGGAGGCAGTTTGTGCTCAGTGAGGCCTCACAGCCTTCAGAGCCGTGCCCAGTCCTGAGATACTGTGCCCTTGTGTTCCCACAGACCCTATGAACGCACTACAGAGCCTGACTGGTGGACCTGCCACTGGAGCAGCTGGAATCGGCATGCCTTCTCGGGGCCCAGGACAGTCCCTGGGTGGGATGGGTGGCCTTGGTGCCATGGGCCAACCCATGCCCCTGTCAGGGCAGCCACCCCCTGGCACCTCAGGGATGGCCCCCCACGGCATGGCTGTTGTGTCTACCACAACACCACAGAGTGAGTACCACGCTTCTTAGAGAACCTGCTGCTTTCTTTGCAGGTGACGCACATTTTATTCCTTTGTTACGATGCTATCAAAAATGCACGGAGAAGCTCCAAGGAGCTCTGTCTTTTTATCTTTGTTGTGTGTGGAGACAAAAGGCTCTAAGCCTTCTTTAGGCTACCAGAAGGGTTAACTGACACTGAGGCCCTCCTCCTGCCCCTCACGGAAGTAGAGGACTCAGGAGATTGGGGCAGCCTGGGACTCCATTCAAGGGGTTGTGTTTTGTAGCTGAAATAGAAACAGTTACATCTCAGGATGTTCTCAGCCATGAAGCAGTGCTGTCAGCGTCCCTCTCCCCCCCTGGACTGCCCCGATCTCGGCAGCTGTCCCTTCTAGTGCTGTCCTTGTTCCTTGGCTGGCCCTGGGTTGTGGCTCACAGCCATGTCTCTGTCAGGCTTTTCTTCCCTGAAGGAAGCGTCTTGCCCTCTTTGCGCTCCTCTGCAGGACACGGCCCCTTGTCCCCTCCACACAGCTGCTCTAGCAGGAGCAGGGCTGCGGGGCAGGTCTCCCTCTCTTTCCAGAACCTGTCTTGATGGACCTTTGATTCTCGTGAACATTTCTTCAGTACTTGGGATGTACTTTAGTACTGCATAGTGCTTCTATACTTTTTTCCCCCTTTATGTAGTTTTTTATTTTTAAAATAGTTTAAGAGTCACTGGAAGTTTCAGAATAGCACAGAGTTCTCATGTGCCCTTCTCCCAGCTTCCCCAGTGATGATATCTTAGTACATTTTCAAAATGGAAAAATCAACATTGGGACAATACTGTCAACTCAGGTGGACTTTGTTCAGACATCACTAGTTTTTACATGCATTCTTATGCATGCGCTTGTGTGTGCAGTTCTATGAGATTTTATCATGTGTGGAATCGAGTGACCATCACCACAGTCAGCATGCAGAACTGTTCCATTGCCACCAACAAGCTGTTGTGTTACCTCCTAATAATCACACCCTCCCTCCAACCCTAAGCCCTGGCAACTGCCAATCTGTTCTCTGTCTCTATAAGATATTGTGTCACTTTGTGAATGTTACATCAATGAGATCATACAGTGTTTGACTATTTGAGATTGGCTTTTTTCACTCAGTGTAATGCCCTTGAGATCCTCCAAGTTGTATCAGTAATTTGTTCCTGCGTATTGCTGAGTAGTGTTCCATGGGCTGAGTTTACGTAGCTCTTCACCCTTGAAGAACGTTTGGGTTGTTTCCAGTTTGGGGCTGTTACAAATAAAGCTGCTCTGAGCACTCACTTACAGGTTGTGGTGTTTCGATGTGTTTTTGTCATGCATCCCTCACAGTAACCCTGTGAAGAAGGCAGTATTGCTGCCTCTGCTTTGCCCATGAGGCAGCCACAGCCTAGAGCTGGGGTTGAGCCCAGGCTCTGACTCCAGCACCCCTATTCTTTGTTGAATTTCCTGTACAAGCGTCATCTTGCTCTTCTTCTCAGAGACCATGTGCCTCCTCATTCCCAACCACTCCTGTGCTGGAACCTTCCATCCCCAGCCATCCCCTTCTCAGATCTTCATTCTCTTCTCCTTACTGATGTCTTGCCATCTGACTCTTAGCTCTTCCCTTAGTTCTTTATCTCAAGCTCCTGTGTCCCCTCTTGTCTTAGCAGCACACCTGACACACACACACACACACGGCATTTTGTGGAAGGATGCTCAGGAAAAGTGCCAGCTCTGGCTCCTTTTTATGTTCTACTCTGGTGTATTGGTTGAATTTCTTTTTAATCACAAACTTATATTTTATAATAAAAGATAGTTTTAAAATGTATGAGTTTGGAATGCTCCCATGATTTGTCTTACAGTCTCATTCCTAAGATTTTATTTGTGAGAAGTTCCGTGGCGAAGCTTTGGTATACTGCCCACACCCTCCCCACTCTGACCTTGGCCCACATCCTGTTGTCAGCTTCTGAGGAACCTGGTGTCCTGTGTGGCACTAGGGGAAGGTTTGAAGTGGGTTCTCTATTTTCAGGTCCTGCTGCTTCCTCTGTCAGAGACCGTACTTCCCTGCTTTTGACCTCTTGCCTGCCTAGGCTACCCGAAATAGGTGTTATGGGCCGAGGGGCATTTGTTATCCCTTTCTGACACTTTGTCCAGATGCCACTGTGTGATTGAGGCCACTTCAGGCCTTAATCCACTGACCTCAGAGTGTAGGACCTGGGTCAGAGGTTTTGCTAGTGCTCTCAAAGGGCCATCCAGGGTGCATTGTGATAGTCTCTAGGTGACCTGCCTTAGTCATATGAAGTACAAACTGATGGCTATGGGTGAGACTGGGGGCTGGAGACAGGTTTGGAAGCAAGACTTACTTTTCATTTTATGTTGTTGATCCTCAATGAATCTTATATCATGTGCACGTAGAGCTGACTTTAAAAATAAGTCATATTTCTGGCTGTTTGACAGACTGGGTGCTGAGGAACCCTCTTCCTTCTGGATAACTAGATCTGGGGTAGGCTGCGTTTTGGATTACTGGGCTGGCAGAAGGTAGGGAAAGCTCTTTGCCCTGCTGTGTCTTGGCTGCTGCAAGCTTGGGGAAAGCAAACCTTGGATCTCTCTGCCCAGCAGGATTTATGCTGGGGTCTTGGCGTCCCCAGTTCCCCCAGAAGCAAGAGCACAGTGAGCAGCGTGCTCCCACTTGAGGCCTGTGGGAATTCAGATGAAGGGCAAGCAGTGAGCACACACTCAAGAGGTCAGCAGGTATGAAAGGCAGTAGAGCTACCGTGAGGAGGAAGAGAAATAATAAGCCCATGTAGACACCCAGGGACCACACACACAGCAATTGTTAGGTATGAATTGGTATGCTTAAAGAAACAGAGGGTAGAATTCCAAATGATGAACAAGCACTGACGCTATGAGGAGTGACCAAGCAGATTTGAAGAGGAACCAAGTGGAACTTGTAGAAACAAGAAATAAAATTATTAAAAGAAGAAAGTGTGGATGATTAATAGCAGATTAGATACAGCTGAAGAAAGACTTTGTGAACCAGAAGCTACATTTGGAGAAATTACCTAGAACATAGCCCAGAGAAGAAGACTTGAGAAATAGGAGGGCAAGAAATATGGAGGATAAAATCAGAAAGTCTGACTAACATCTACTAAAAGGACCAAGTGGGAGAGAATGAAAGCCACAACAGTATGTGAGGAGATGATGGCTGAGGAAAACCCAGTGGACCCATGTAGGTTAAATAAGGCATCCAGGCCTTAACCTGTTATTGTGAAACAGCAGAACACCAAAGGCCAGACGAGTATCTTAGAAATGGCCAGTTTCTGTAAAGGAGCAAATAATAGACTCAGCAGACTCAGTAGGAGGTTGTTAGACTGCTGAGAATAGAGCAACCAACCACAGTTGTGTGCTAGCAAAGCTCTTCCAAGGACTAGGGGGAGGCAGAGGCATTTTTAGATTAACAAAGCTCAGGAGACCTTCACTACAAGGTGTTTTGTGTGTGAGGAAGATTCGCCCTGAGCTAACTTCTGTGCCAGTCTTCTTCTGTTTTTTATGTGGGATGTTGCCACAGCATGGCTTGATGAGCAGTGCTAGGTCTACACCTGGGATCCAGATCTGTGAACCCTGGGCTGCCAAATCGGAGCATGCAAACTTAACCACTGTGTCACCAGGCCAGCCCCACTAAAAGGTTTTTTAAGGGCATACTCTTACTTGGCTCACCAATTCCTCTTAACTCTCAAACTATCCTTTCCGAGATGACAGGTGTGAAATGGGAGAAGAAGTGTTTTTCAGGTAAGGTAGTAAATGTGTGTAAATCTAAATCAGCGAGAATCTAAACCAGCGATTCACCCCTGGGGGATATTTGGCAATGTCTGGAGACCTTTTTGGATGTCACAACTGTGGGGGTCCTACTGGCATCTAGTAGGTAGAGAGGCCAGAGATGCTACTAAATACGTTATATGCACAGGATGGCCTTCCACTGGTGACATAGAATTGTCTGGCCTGAAATATCAGTAGGGACAAGGTTGAGAATCCTTGGTGTAAATGACACTTACCTCTGTAAAAGAGCGATGCTGAGAGCCAGCTTCACTCCATGTGGACCTGCTACATTGCAAGCACTATTTTGAAGGATTTACCTAAAATGAATTTTTTAAAAATAGATTTCTTAATTCCTAGTCCAGTGTGTCGGTAGGTACTATTATTGTCTCTTTTCTACAGCTGAGGAAATGGAGGCACAGAGCAGTGACAGAGTTTGAGTCCAGGCAGTCTGGATCAGAGGCCAGAGGCTGTCCCCCTAGCCATTATTCTGTCCTGCCTCTTAATATAAGTCTGCTATGCGGGCGTAAGAAGATAAACAGAGACTGAACTGAATGGAAGTCAGGAGGGGGAATCTACCAAGGGTACCAGGTCTATCAAGTGTGTGTAAAACCTACTTTAGGAAATAATTAGAGAGGGTTCTAAGGTTCTAAGGGTTCTAATGGAATAAGAAAAAAATAGCAAACAAATCCAAACAATATACAAAATTGAAACCAACCACCCAACAAAAATACATTTCAAAAAAGGAGAAAAAATTTGTCCATTATACCTCAATAAAGCTGAAAAACAAAGGAGGAAAAGAAGCTTAGAAAAGGGAAGATAAATACATATAAGTTGAAAAATATAAGTAATCTCAATAAATGTGCGTGGACTAAACTCTCCTGCTAAAGGACAGGAACTGTGAGAGTGAATATAAATGAAAGGAAACTCTACAGCTATGTAATTCTTACAAGAAACACAGCTAAATAGAAGATGCAAAAAGATTTGAAAATAGAAGATGTATTGGGCAATTACCTCTCTCAGCTGTTGATAGTTAAGCAGACAAAAAATGATAAGATTTGAACAACGTAATAAACAACCTCATCTAAGCATGTGGAAGGAACAAATATGCTTAAAAAAATTAACCATAAAGCAAGCCTCAGGACTTTCAGAATATTACTGCCATACACGTAATGTTTTCTGACTATCAAACAGAGGTAGAAGTCTGTAACAAGAAGATAAATTTAAAAACTCTTACACTATCAGAATGGCTAAAATGCTGGCAAGGATGAGAAGAAACTGGATTACTCATACATTGCTGGTGGGGATGTAAAATGGTTCAGCTTCTTTAAAAACTAAATGTCCATCTCAGCAGTCTCACTCTTGGGTATCTATCCCAGAGAAATGAGAGCCACATTCACATGAAAACCTGTACACAAATGTTCATGGTAGCCCAAATCTGCAGTCTCTCCCAGATATCCTTTATGGTGTGAATGGTTAAACAGTCTGGAAGATAACCAGACCGTGACATACTGCTTGGCGATAAAAAAGGATAGAGTTACTGATACACATTACAGCCTAGGCGATCTTCAGAAAATTACGCTGAATGAAAAAGCCAATCGTATTGTATGGTCCTACTTACATAACATTTTTGGAATGACAAAATGTTAAAATGGAGGACTCCTTAGTGGTTGCTGTGGTGGGGGAAGGGGGGTTGCGGAAGGGCATGGCACCTCCAGGAATACCTGTGCTGGTGGAGCTGTTCAGTATCTTGACTGTAGCGGTGGCTGAATCTACCTAAGTGAGAAAATTGTATAGCGCTTAATATACACACCCATGCAAATGAGTACACATTCTGGTTGTTACTATAAGTTTACAAAATGGTAGCCTTGGGAGAAACTGGGCAATGTGTACAAAGGATCTCTGTATTATTTCTTTCTTCTTCTTTTTTTTTTTTCTGCTTTATCTCCCCAACCCCCCCCCCCCCCCCCACACACACACACAGTTGTATATCTTAGTTGCAGGTGCTTCTAGTTGTGGGATGTGGGATGCCGCCTCAACATGGCCTGACAAGCAGTGCCATGTCCGCGCCCAGGATCCGAACACTGGGCCGCCACAGCGGAGCGCGCGAACTTAACCACTCGGCGACGGAGCCGGCCCCCTATTTCTTTTTTAAATAAGAGCTTTATTGAAATATAATTCATATACCTATAGTTCACCCATTTAAAGTGCAATATTCAGTAGTTTTTAGTATATTCAGAGTTGTACGACCTTTACCACAATCAATTTTAGTACATTTTCATCACCCCAAAAGAAACCACACCACAGAAAATTTTGTAAATGATTGTTTATATCAGGATTATTCGTAGTCACAAAAAATGGAAACAACCCAAATGTACATTAGCTGATGATCAGATAAACAAAATGTGGGAAATCCATATAATAGAATATTATTCAGCAGTAGAAAGAAGTGAAATACTGATACGTGCTGCAACATAGGTGAAAGTTGTAAATAATTATGCTAAGCGAAAGAAGCCAGTCACAAAAGACCATATGTTGTGAGATTCCATTGATATGAAATGTCCAAAACAGGCAACTCTGTAGAGACAGAAAGCAGATTAGTGGTTGCCTGAGGCTGAGCCTCTTTGCCATCCTAAAAGCTTAGTCAACCCTTTGCTCTTTATTATTTTAGAGTACTTCGTAATAGTAAGTTCCGTGGTCTACACAAATGCCGCTCCCATCACATCTGTCCCTCTTGTGTAACCTGAGTGTTCCATTCCAGTGGCAGTCAGGGCACTGGGCCGTCTTGCCACCCTCCCTGTGTGCATAGCTGCAGTGGCAATGGGCCTTTGTTTGGGCTTCCCTTGCTGTGCACCTGGGCCTGACTCACGGGTCTTGTCTCCAGCCCAGCTGCAGCTCCAGCAGGTAGCGCTGCAGCAGCAGCAGCAGTTCCAACAGCAGCAGGTGGCACTGCAGCAGCAGCAGCAGCAACAGCAGCAGTTCCAGGCTCAGCAGAATGCCATGCAGCAGCAGTTCCAGGCGGTGGTGCAGCAGCAGCAGCAGCAGCTCCAGCAGCAGCAGCAGCAGCAGCAGCACCTGATTAAATTGCATCATCAAAACCAGCAACAGGTACTAGGTGCCCTTGTTCCTGGCACATAGCCTCCCTTCTCTGGCCCTTGAGCCCTGCACACGCACCAGCCACAGTGCTGGGTACAGGGGCCTCCTGATGACTCGTGCCTGGGCTTCCTCCTCCGTGGGCTTCTTGCAGAGCCTGTGACAGAAAGGAGTAACAGGCCCTGACTTATTAGGAGGGTGCTGTGATTGCACGAGGAGGGCCTTTCTGTCAGGCTTGGATGTCTGGCTGTGGGCCTACTTTGTGCTGGAGGGGCTGGATCAGTGGAGGCTTCTGGGTGCAAGTGATTCATGTAAGAGTTAACTGAGAAGAACACTGCAAAATGTGGAAATGCTTGAGCCGTCCCAGGGGTGTGTTTCTTTTGAGTACGTACATGCCTCCTGTTTTGTCTCTGAGTGTTGCATTTTCTGGACACAGCACTAATTGACACCCCTCCAGTGTCCTGCACGGGAATGGCAATGTCACATTAGAAGCTCTGCTTGTAAGAAAACATTTCTTCTTCTCATGGTTTGCAGTCAGCATCTAGACATGCGTCGGGTCTGCTCTTGGTTGAGGGAGGAAAGCCCTGAAGGTACCTCTCCACTTTCCCATCCCCTCCAGGCCTTGGCTTACTGCCTCCTTTTCCCAGTGGCCACCCTCCTGGATCTTGGAGGCCCCCCCTCCCAGAGCTGACAGTGAATCTTCGGTCCCAGTTTTCCTACTCATCCTGAAAGGCAGACATTGGTCGTCTTCATGAGGCTCGTACTGTTGACCACTGTAGGGACCAAACAGGCATCATTAGAGAGGCCTTAGAGGACTGCAGTCACCTGAGTGTTTATCCCAGCTTCTGTGGAGCTGCACCTCTATATTACTAAACCCTCCAGATATTTCCCTTCAGCCTTCTTTCATCCTCTCATGTCTAGGAGTGGACCAGCATCTCATGGCCAGGGCACAGGAGCACACGATGTGTCCTCAGGGTCCTTCTGTGGAAGGTGTTCCCTTCCCTTTGCCTTGGGTGAGAGCAGCCCAGGCAGACTTCTGGGGGGCAAGGCTAGCACAGGGCCCAGGGGCCAATGGGGTGACCAAGTGCTACTTGCTCTGCCCCTAGCTACAGCAGCAGCAACAGCAGCTGCAGCGGATGGCACAGCTGCAGCTGCAGCAGCAGCAACAGCAGCAGCAGCAGCAGCAGCAGCAGCAGCAGGCTTTGCAGGCCCAGCCGCCAATACAGCAGCCACCAATGCAGCAGCCACAGCCTCCCCCCTCCCAGGCCCTGCCCCAGCAGCTGCAGCAGATGCACCACCCACAGCACCACCAGCCGCCACCACAGCCCCAGCAGCCGACAGTTGCTCAGAACCAACCATCACAGCTCCCACCACAGTCACAGACCCAGCCTTTGGTGTCACAGGCTCCGCCCCTCCCTGGACAGATGATGTATACCCAGCAACAGCTGAAACTTGTGAGTACCCATGGCTCGTGGTGGGCTGCAGTTCTTCTCATGGTGCTGCCTGCAGCCTGTGGCTGGCAGCCATTTCTGGTGCTCCTTGGCTGTAGACGGCATGGCCTCTTCAGGCACTGCGATTCAGGCAGCCTTTTCCCACACTGGCCTCTACGTCCAGCTCAGCAAGGGAGCATGCATTCTAAGAGCTGCTGCACACTGTACAGGGGTGCCCCTCTTGCTGGAGCAGCAGTTTGTCTCCTAAGCAGTGTGGCTGATTTCGGCAGTGGCCGTTGTCATTTTAAGATTGTGGATGATGCGATGGACGGCAGCATGCCTGTCCTCACTGTGGGTGGCAGGCCGCCTCCATCGGGCATCCACGGTGGTTTGCTGACTGCTCAGAGTTATGTTCTGAGCAAAGAGCCCTGCCATTGCCATATTTTGGAGGGGGTATTAATATAAAATACTGTTATTTTTAGTCTTATGCATCTCTGTACAAAGCAAATCTAGTCAGTGACATTTACACAGAGAGCAGAATATTGTCACCAAGTCAGGGGTAGCTGTGTCAAGGGGCCATTTTAATGTTTTTTCGGCTCACTTCCTTGGTTTTCGTGGCCTTTTCTATTTGTGATTCATTGAGTGGAGTGGGAACTGGGGCCCTACCTGAACTGAGTGGTAGGTGAATAGGAGGCCCCACGGGGTGGGCTGGAAGGCAGGGGAGGGTCGTGAAGAGCAAGTATGGTCACACCTGTCACATGGGAGCCAGCCTGTTGCTGACTGGCCAGCCCTCGTTTCCTTCAAGGAGTCAGGGCTCCAAGGGGGGTTCTCATAAACTCAGTGTGCTTGGTCCAGAGGCCAGGCCGGCCAAGCTGTGCACTTGGCTTTGGGAAGCATCGCTTTGCTTGCATTGGTAGTTGGTGGTGATGCTGTATGGTGACATCCTGGTGGGAGGGATATGCTTCTCACCAGAGTGAGGAGAGGTGGGACTCTGCTGTGCCGACTTGGGGCCAGGCTGGCATGGGACATTTCTGATGAGCCATGGGATAAGGGGATGGCCAGGATGGTGATATCATAGCCAGTGAAGTCATGATGATCCCATCCTCCTTCTTACAAAAAGCTTCAAGATTCAAAGCTTCCACAGAAGTAGTGGGTGCTCTGCCCTCTACCCTGGGTGGCTCCAAACTGCATTCTCCCTTCCTCAGGTCCGACCTCCGATGGTGGTGCAGCAGCCGCAGGTGCAGCCCCAGGTGCAGCAGGTGCAGCCCCAGGTGCAGCAGCAGACAGCGGTACCGACAGCTCAGGCCTCCCAGATAGTGGGTTCTGGAGTCCAGGTGAGGGCCTTCGGAGCCGAGGGCTTCTGCTGGCAGGTGCATGTCCACCTACGCATGGAGCTAGATTTCAGGCGCTCTATAGTGAGGGTCATGGTTGGATCAGGGGTCAGGTCGGTAAAGCACGGGCTTCTCTACCCTGGCACTCTACGAGACCAGGGCTCTCCCTGGAGCCAGTCCCTGGGAGCCTCGGGTTGGCCAGCTCTGCTTGGTCATATCTGCGTTTCCCAGCTGCGTAGTGCATGTGTTGTTCCCACCTCTCCTCTGAATTCCTTTATCATCCCACTTCCCTTCTCTGAGAACACGAGCGGAGAGGAGAGCATTGCAGTTTCATCCTTGCCGCAGCTCTGAGTATGGGGCTAGTGGGGGGATAGACAGTAGCTCTCTAGAAACCGGGAAGAGCACGAGAACAGGAGTCCCTGGCTCCAGTGGCTGGTGCGGGCTTGTGCTGCAGCCCCTTGCCCGGCTGCCTCATGTGTTCCCCTCTGTGCTAAGAATTGTGGTCAAGCCTACCACGCCCACCGGTGTATACTAGATGTTGGTGGGATGGAGTAGGCCCTGCCTAGCCTTTCCTAGTAGGGGCCAGATTGTTGTTAGTGTCTAGAGATTGGAGATCAGGCCTTATGACTTCTCTATAGACACCCCCCGCCCTTGTTCCTGTGTGGAGGAGGGAAATCATCCAGTCTGGGGCCTTGGTTCTTCCTGTCTCTGCCCAGTGGTGGGAACACTGATAGTCGCTGCTGAGCAATGAGATTTGGCTTTAGACAGAGCAGAAGTTCTACTTGATATGGAAAGACTGCAGCTGGGGCCCACCCACCCCTGTGCTGCACTGTGCTGAGTGGCACCCACTGTGCTCCTGCCCTGCTCGTTACCCACTGGTCCACTGAGCTCCCTGTCTAGTGCATAGCGGCCACATGTCACGCACTTCTGGGATGTGATGTATTCTGTTAGAGTCAGATGACATTTCACTGTAGGGGGTAGCTCAGAAATGGTCCTTCCTGCTCAAGTCCACAAGAAGCTGCCTGAAGAAAAGCATGCTGACCGAGGCACCTGAGGTATTTGGATGTAGCTGAGTCGGCCTAGCAGCCTCCCTAGACACTGCACCAAGTGACCTGGGACCAGAGTTCCCCAGATCACCAGCTTGCCCAGATACGGTCTTGTGCAAAACATGCCACAGACCTTATGTCTATAGCTGAGGAGTGGGCTGGCTGCTCTGTGTGACTAGGTTTGAGTCCATCTCTGCCACCATCACTGTGTATCCCAGGCTTGTCCTCAGGCCTTCTGGGGCTTCCTCTTCTTGATGTCCCAAGCAGAGAAAGAGGTGGTGCGTGGTCAGAGCTGGGACGGTGGTGGCACATAGTGACCGCCCAGGCTGCAGAAGCCGTTGCCCTTGCCACCTCGCTACCTTCCTTGCCTCCCTCCCCTGTTCTGGGACCACACTTCATGGAAACTTTTGCATCTCAGGTCTGGTCCAGTAGGAAAGCAAGAGGCTTGGCATTCTTTACTTTGTAATGGCCGTCCTAAAGCAGAACTACCCTTTTCATCCCATTTCTTGGTGTTTGGGAAGCAAGCAGCTGTAGAACAGTTGATGTCTTCCGATGGTCCAGGTCCGTTCTGCTGGTGTGTTTGTAAACTTCTGGCTCAAGGAAGTGTACTCCCTATAGCTCCCGTGGTGCCTTACCACCTTCCAGAAGCAGGATGTGGCTGTGTGTGTTCAGTATCCGCACTGCGCCTGTGTGTGGCACTGCTCTGCCCAGTGGTTACTCTGCCCTTTGCTTCTGCTGGAGGTCCCAGCCAGCGTGGGAGCTTGGCCATGGACTCAATCACCTCTACAGTAGCATTCTTTTCCCCCCAGCGGAGCTTGGAGGGGTGCTGGCAGGCAGGACTCTTCTTTTCAGCAGGGACTCTGGGGAGATTGTAGGACTCTGGTAGCTGGGGAAGATGAAAAGGGTTGCCGCCTGAGTATTTATGGGTGGGTTTGGTTTGGTGAGGAGTGCACCTTCAGGTTCTTCAGGAGTGATGTTCACATCCCTCCCGCGTGTCGTAGACCAGCCTTGGGCAGAGCAGGGGAGAGGCCTCATCCTACACTGCTGGCCTTTGGTGGGGTTGCTAGGTGCTGGTGGCAAAGGGAGCGTTCTTGAAGCCCAGCAGAGCACAGTGCACATTTGTGCAGTGCCTCTCAGCCCAGATGCAGTGCCTCAAGGGCCTCTGCCTCTGGTCTGCTGGCTTGTTTCTGGGCTTGGTCCTGCCTCACTGCAGGCAGTGCAGGTTCATAGAGGCCGGCTGGCTGGCCTTGCTGCATTGTTTGAGCAGCAGTAAGGTCCCTGGGTGTCACAAGCCCTCCTGGGGGGATCTCTGGATTCACAGCCCTCCTTTGCAACCAGGGTTGGCACAGTGGACAAGACAAGGCTGCAGATATTTTGACCCAAAAACTTAAAAAGTATGTGATAACTGTAGAAGACAGAAAGTGAGAAAATTATAAATAAGGGAAACATTCCAGCACAGGAGAAGCAGTTTGGCATCTTTTCTTTCCAGATCTCACATAGTCAAGGTCATACTGTACATAGGATTTTATTTGTGGCTTCTTCCCCATTCACATTACAATAGAAGTAAAACATTCTCCTGTAATTTAAAACCCTTGGTCAACATTATTTTACGCCGCTGTTTTAGTATTCCACTTATGAATGTATCCTACTGTCCTTAATTACCATCTTGCTCTTGAATCCTGAGATTATTTCCAGTTTTTTGCTGTTACCATGTCCTAATACCTGGCCAGGGTCTGGATGGTTTGCTAATGTGTCTCAAAAGTAAGTCACTAGGTCATTTTGAGGCCCTCGAATCATATCCGCCAATCATCTACCAGGAGTTCAGAGATGCAGGCTACAACTCTTATGTAGTATTCATGTACTTGACGTCAGGACGAGGTGGCTGTGTGTCACAACTTCCTGGATGTGAGCTGCTGCACGCAGGCGCAGGTTCCATGAAAGAAATGCTGGCATGAAGGGCCCACGTGGGCAGCCTCCAAGCCTCCTCTCACAAGTCAGCCCCCTCCGAGCAGAAGAGAGGCACCTTGTCGAGTGTTCACTGGTGCTCTGGGCCCGATGGGTACCCGGGGTCCTCAACCTGGACTTGAGTTTGAGATTTTGTACGCCTGGCTCTCTTATCTGACATTACTCATGTAGATGAGAAAGGTGGCATCGCCGTCACCACAGTGGGATTTATTGGGACACAGCAGGAGAGCTGTGCTAACTTCTCTTTCTCCCCTAAACTTTATCTGTGACTGCAGATAAAACCAGAACAGAATGCGTCTCCGTTTCCAAACCGTCCCTGTGCTTTTGTCTTTTAGCATTCTGTTCTTTTAGTGTATGGAAACGTAACTATAGTTCTCAAGGTATGAAGAATTGTTACCAAAGACACACTTCCCCAACGTGCGTGCATGTAACACGGCTGCGGTACGGCGATCTCTTGATTGAGCCTCGCCGCCCTGCCTTTACCCCTCTCTCCTCTTTCCAGGCCCTCCTGCCCAGGGACTGAGGAGGAGCCAGGCCCACAGCCTGCGGGGTGGAGCTTGAACTCCTTCTTGGGTGGATGTGTCTGGGGAGGCAGAGAAATGTAGTCACTTGGGGGAGTGGGAGAATGAGTTGCTGGTTGTTCACTGCCTGGCTCATCTAATCCAGTGAATACTTCTGGTGTGTTTTCATTAGAATTGGTGGTTAAAATGAGCTTTCCCTCTCAGGAGTTCTCGGTTACAAGAAAACCAGTCTGCAGCAAATCAGATTTAAGCTTTTTGTTCCTTACTACTTTTGTTTCTTCCTGGAAAATGTTTGCACCTCTCTCATACCACCTGACTGACTTCCAGGCCCTTCTTCCTCTGGAAGGAGCATTGTCAAGTGGCCACAGGGCTCTCAGATGGGCTCCTCAGTGCAGTGCCACGTCGGTTATAAATGGACACTGTTCGCTGTTACCCTACCTGACCACAGGCTGAGAGCCCAGCCCGGGAGAGAGTTGCTTTCAGCCCCACTCTGGACACCTCCTCTGGGAGGAGGCATGTTTCCCTGAGGCTTTCCCATCTGGAGCCCTGAGAACAGGCATACCTTGTTTTATTGTGCTTCGCTTTATTGCGCTTCGCAGATACTGCATTTTTTACAAATTGAAGGTTTGTGGCAACCCTGTGTCAAGCAAGTCTATCAGTACCAGTTTTACAACAGCATTTGCTCACTGTGTGTCTCTGTGTCACATTTATTTTAGCAATAAAGTACTTTTTAATTAAGGTATGTACATTGATTTTTTAGACATAATGGTATTGCACACTTAATAGACTACAGTGTGGTGTAAACATAACTTTTATATACACTGGGAAACCAAAAAATTTGTGTGACTCAGTTTATTGCAGTGATTCACTTTATTGTGGTGATCTGGAACTGAACTCGCAATATCTCTGGGGTATGCCTGCTACTCTGAGCACTGTTGCACCCCCACCAACATCTCACTTAGTGTCTGATGGGGTGGGGCGTGGTGGGCTCTTCAGGACCATGCTTACATTTTGGCAGACACCAGGAGAATGACTTCCTCACTCCCCACCCCTGGGAAGTCCTTTCATTGATGTGGCTACAGGAATGTCCACTGCCCAGCCCTGCGTGAGGGCTGCCCCATTCCCACAGCCATGGGAGATTCAGTTTGGCATCTGCTACTGCTTGTCACCCCTGGCTTGTGGTGCCTGCTGCATGCGACCCATGGGTGTGAGTGTGGGACATGCGTGTGATGCCAGAGGTCTCCCTCGGGCCTTTCTCCTGCTTTGGAACCCTGTCCCTGGCACACCTTGCTGCATGGACTCAATGGCCATCATCACTGCCCCAGTCTCATGGGTCAGTTCACAGCCTCTTGGGATAGATGTTTCATTTTTCCATGATCAGTCCTGCTTCCTTTCTGAACCTGGTTGTGTTTTAGTTTGGTCTCATCTTCATAGTTGTGAGAGCACGCAGGCCCTGCTCTCAAAGGACCAGACTAGGGCTCCATCCCCCAACTCAGAGCCCAGAGTGAGGGTGACTGGGTCACGGGAGACCACCGGGTTCCTGTCAGTGCAAGCAGGCCTTGACCCATGGCAGTGCTGCCTTTGTGCTTCCAAAAGTGTAAGTTGATCGTGGGGGGTTGAGGGGGTGATCCCAGCTAATGCTGGAATTCTGGAGTTTGTGGTCATCTTCTATGTTTAAGGACAGACCTGACCCATGTCCCTGTGGGACATCCACCTCCTCACGAGGGCAAGACCCCAGGCGGAGTCCCAGGCTTCCCTTCCCCATCTCCCTCTGATCTTAGTTATAAGAGAAAACCAGTTCCTCGGTAAATAGTCAGAGGCCTGGAGGAGAGGAGGATGGTTTGCGTTCAGGCCCTCAGACGCATCTTCCTCAGGTGGTGTGCTGCTGAGAAGGAAAGGTGCCATGAGCCCGCTTAGCTGGACTCTGCCTCTCTCTTAACGGTGGTTGGCTTCTCACAGCCAGCTTTGGTGGAGTGTACTCTTTCGAAGTCTCTCCCAGGAGCCTGGTCTCCCAGAAACACCACCCTTGGCCCTTGAGGTCAGGCCCTGAGGGCTCTGCGGGCCCGTCAGCAGATCAGAGCTTTGTTGAAGGAGTGCAGCTAACAGAATAGAAAGGTCTGGAGGCACGTTCTTGGCGGCTCCTCTGGATTCCGATGCCTAGACAGGCCTTGGTGCTGTGGGCTTGAGCATGTAGGCCAGCCTCTGCCCCTCCCAGGCTGCCCGAGCCCCCGAAGGCCCTCACCTGTGGACGCTCCTTGTCGCAGAGGCTGCCCATCCCTTTCCACTTGCCCATGCACTGCGTTTCTTTGTTGCGATCACCTTGTCTGTTGTCCCTCTGTCCTCAAGATGATCACCGCAGCCTTGGCCCAAGGCGGGATGCAAGTAAGAGCCCGGTTCCCACCCACCACCGCCATGTCTGCCGTCCCGTCAAGCTCCATCTCTTTGGGCGGACAGCCCTTGGCACAGGTATTTACGGGGCGGTGCCTTTGTGAGGCACACTGTAATCGTCAGCGACTTCCTTCACAGTGGCGCTCAGAGTGCCTAACCAAGCTTACATGGGGCCACATCCAGCTTGTGTTTCTTGAGGGGATATGAGGAAATACTTGAGTGTTTTCATTTTAATGTTTTGGAAAGTTCTAACGTTTTCATTTTCTGGAGAAGGTAGGAGCAAAGTATCCTAAACATTTTAGCATTTTAGATAGTTATGCTGCTGTCATTTCACAGTAAAATGAAAAAGAAGCTAAGCCGATAGTTTTGCTTTTAGGGCTGTGCTGTCTAATGCTATAGCCACTAGCCGTCTTGGCTACTTACATTTAAATTAGCTAAAATTAAATAAATCTAAAAATTCAGTTTTTGAAATTACCTTCAGTTGAAATTCGTTAACATTCAAGTGTCCAGTTGCCCCATGGGGAAGCTGGTGGCTGCCTTATTGGACGGCACAGATTGTAGAACAAGTCAGTCCAGTCCATTCTGGTGGAAAGTTCTGTTGGACCATGCTGTTCTAGACTTTACTGTGTAGAGTGTAGACACACACGAACACATACACGCGCGCACGCCCCGTTCTAGGTAGATAAAGACTTCTTTGTACATTACACTTTTCGGGGATGTGAATTCCTGGTTCTCTGTTATCGTATGAAATTTAGAATTCTTCCATGGTGTGTTCATTTGTTTAACAGATAGTCATCATGTGAATTCCGTGGGCCAGGCACTCTTCTAGGAGTCTGAGAATAAAATGGTAATAAGGTTCTCTAATCTTACAGGCTTTCCATTTTAGTTGGTTTGCTGTGAAAACCTCAGATTTGCCAAAGCTTTAAAATTCATTTTCTGTTGTAAGGGAGATGCAGCTATAATCCTAGCAGGCAACACCCCCTGCCTTTCCCAACGGCACGTGTGCAGGCGCTGCTGTCGCCTCGTGTGAGGGGTGCCTATGTAGATGGCTGCAGTCTGGCCCCACAAAACATGCTTCCAAGAGAATAGTGAGGGCCTTCCTGAGGCTGAGGCATTGCCATCTGGGGCCATGTTCAGTTTTCACCCTCTCTGCCTCCCGACCTCCAGGTTCACCCCAAATGTACCATTCACACAGTTTGTCACAGACTGCAACTTGAGTTGTTTGGTTTGTCCTCCCTTTTGGTAGTTGTTGGGTTGTAGGAGGAGGAAGTGGCTGGAATCTGCTGGTAAAAAGGCCTTGTGACAGAGCTGTCTAGAGGAGCGAAGCTGGGGGGCAGGGGAAGCAGGCTCTGTGGCCAAGGTGGCAAGGAGGGTAGGGTGACCTGGAGGCTGCATGGGGGTCTCAGCACAATGCCTGGCTGAGAGTTAGTCCCTTGGTGCCTCAGGCGACCCCCACCCTCCAGCCTCCTTACTTGCTTATGTGTCATTAGTGTGGGTCTCTTTGCCCTGGTCTCTTTGGAATCTCAGCTCTGTGATCTCAAACTGCTTGTTCTCCTTTCCCATAGCCTCTGGCTCAGTGTCCATTGGGTTGACAGAGTCAGGTTGGGTTGTTGGGTGTGGAGGAATGACTTTGGCATCAGCACATAGGGCTGATTTTTATAAAAACAATAAAAATCCCCGACATTTTGAGTGTGTGATCCATGCCAGGCCTTGAGCTAAGTTCTTTGTGTGGAGACTCTTGTTCAGTCTCACTGAAGCAGGTCATAGTTCACGCTTTAGGGGAGCTTAGTTCTAGTTCAAGTTTAGGGGAGCTCTTCGTAGTGGCCCCTCAGTGCTGGTGAGTGTGGTCCCCCAGCAGCGGTCAAAGCAAGAGGCGCCACTGCCCTCTGTGAGAACAGACTGAGACGCTCCAATTTAGGTGAGAAGCTTCCATCTTCCCACCTTGGCCTCTCAGCAGGGTCCTGGGGTTCAAACCCTTTTCTCCCTGCAGGGCCAGGCACATTGAGGACATTCAGCTGGCCACAGAGCTGGTTCTAGAATCAGTGTGCAGCTGCTTTTGCAGCAGAATCTTTCCAATCCAGTCCCTTCAGAGAAAAGATAGGTTATTCCAGGAATGTGCCATTGAAATGCGGCTGAGAGCTGCCCCTGCTGTCCAGCAGGTTTCCCAGCAGAGCTCTTAGCAGCTGGCCCTCTGGGCCTCGCTGTGTCTGCATGGCATGTCCTGTGGCTGCTGTCGGCCCCCAGCCACCTGCATGCAGCCCTTAGCAGGACGTGCTTCAGCATCCACCATGCCTGTCTGGTTTTGTTCTTTCCTTGTGGCAATAAATTAGATTAAAGGAAACAGGCAGAATAGAAAGTCAGCTCTTGCTCCTTCAGCTCTTCTTGAGACAGGGCTCTCGTCTCAACCTCTCCTCCAGCTCCCATCTTTGGGATGTGTCCAGGCTACATCTTTGTGTTGTGGTGGAGACACTTCTGGACAACTGTGACCAAGCAGGATCTGCTGGGCACATACTGGACACGGTGTCTAGTATGGGAAGCCAGGGGTGACATGGGGTCCTGTCCCAACGCTCCCATGGTAATTGTAAGCAGGTGGCACCACAGGAGGACCTATGTCCTGCTTTGCTCTAGAGAGTGACTCCTGGGGACATGTCACGTGCAGTGGCCAGGAGCGTGGGCAGTTCCAGGGATATTCAGTGGGTGCAGGTGGTCCTAAGAGGTCTGGAGCATGTGGTGCCACCAGCTTCCCCTGAGATTTCTTCACGGCATGAAGCTGCCCAGACTAACCTTTCTGCCCTGTTGCCTGGCCTCGTCGCCCTTCCTGCCCTCTGGCCACTTCCCCTCTGCTTGCTCTCTGTCTATCCTGCCTTCCATTCCTGCTCTCTGCAGGCTGCCTGGGTGATCAGTTGGGGATCCCTTATCCATATGCTTGTCCTTGCCATAGGGAACAGATAGTGCTGAGGTGCCTGGACTCGCCTGCTAGTGGTGTGACCTTGAGCCAGTCACCTCCCTCTGTGCTCTCACCTCCCCATCTGTGACATGCAGGTGACAGGGTGTGTGGGGTGCATGGCAGCCTCCCTCCCCTGGGAGCTACAGCATTTGCGTCCTGTGGCTTTTGCTGGCAGCTGTGACAGACATGCCTCTGCCTCTGGCAGGACATGCCCAGAGAGGAGAAAAATGCAGAGACAGAGCAGGCGCTCTTCCCCCAGAGGGCTCGTTGTGTAACTAAGGGAGCATAGCCGTCCTGGTCTCCTCCACCCCAGAGGCTGGCCAGACCTGACATAAACCTGCAGATCGGGGGTTGCTGTCTCGTTAAGCGCCTCACTAGGCCAGTTCCTTCTTGACATGGGCCTTTGGGTGGCTGCTTCTCATACCAGGTGTGTCTGCGGCAGCTTGGGACTTGGGAGGCCTGGGAGCCTCGTGCTGCCCAGCGCTGGCAGCCCAAGCAAGGGTCCTGAAGGCTTGTCGGGGAATATGTTTGCTGCCAACTGGAACTGTGCATTTTTCCAGAGGAATTGTCAGCTGCAGAGAGATCTGCATTGGATATCGGAGGCCAGGGGTTTCCCTTAGCAGCCTTGAGAGTGGTGGCCCCAGTGGCCAGAGGGGCAGAGCCCAGGGCTGGACATGAGAGACAGGCTCAGGAGGGAGGCAGGAGCACAGAGCTCACGCCCCCAGCCTGGGCAGGTGCTCTTTGCCGTGTCTTAGACCCTCTGTCTCATGCCTGGGGAGCTGTGCGTGCTCAGTGGCTCCGTGGAATCCAAAGGCAGTGTGGGCACAGTGCGCCGTTTCCCTGTGGTCTGAGCCCTAAGGGGGCTGTTGAAAGTACAGCTTCAGACATTCAGGTGGAAAGTGAGCTGGGAAATGGCCTTCCCACTGCAGCAGCCTCATGCCAGCTGTGATGCCCTGCAGGTGCCTTGTTGCCCTTCAGAGAGGCACCAGCTTTAGGCTGCAGACAAGGGCTGAACACCTTGAAGGGACAGCTGCTCGAGCAGAGGCTGAGGCGCCTCCCTGGGGCAAGTGGGGCCCAGGTGGTCAGGGAGAGGCCACATGAGGAGGGTTGACTTCCAGGCTGGAAGAGGGCGAGGCAAGAGGCACCTTCAGGGAGTGCAGGGCAGAGAGTGGCGGCAGATCAGGGTCAGGGAAGGGGAGGTGATGGCAGGGCTTTAGAAGGAAACCACTGCAGGGAGAGTTCCCCCACCTGAAAGGCCAGGCCTGGGGTGGGACCCCAGGGCCTTTGCTTCCCCCTTCTTGGCACTGTCTGTAGTTCTCTGTGTAGACTTTTCTGAGGCAACCTGTTCATCTTCCTAGTCCTGGGAGTTTTTTGGCACCTGGGTGGATCCTAGAACATATTTTCTAGTGCCGGGGCCATGCTGCCTGCCCCAGGACTCAGTGCACCCAGGCACCATGAAGGCGAGTCCTGCCCAGGAGAAAGCTGCTGCCCTTGTTCAGCTCAGCAAACTCAGCCACCCCATGCCCATTTGTGACCCTGCTGACGTTAGCGTGAAACACCTGGCACCATGTTGTCCCCTTGGCCTGGCAGCCAGAGGCTTGAGGTCACTCACTCCTGCCACTCCACTCCCTGGCTGGGGGCCCTGTCATACGTGGTGGAAAGAGCACATTCCAGCTTGGATTTGGTGCCCCTCTGACTCAGCTGTGTTGAAAGTGTCATGACATGGCTCCTGTGCCCCCTGCTGTGCCAGCATCCCATGCATCTCTGTCCCATACACTCAGTAGGAAGGGTAGGAAGCCAAAGAGCAGGAGAGGAGTCCTGTTTCACTCCGGGAGCTTGGTCCAGGTGGTACTGGGAGAAGGGGCGGGCGTAGGGCCGGTGGGACGGGGTGGGTGAGGAGGGATCTGGGCTCCTCCAAACACTCCTTCCTGTTCCCTGTCAAGGACTGAGAAAGCAGCAAGCCACTCAGAGTGATCCTGACCCAGTACTCCCAGTGCCGTGGTGGAGGAGTGTGTGGGAGAAGGGCGGAGTTGGTCTGCAGAACTGGACAATCCAGGGGTGGGAGGGTTGTGGTCCAGGAAGCAGGCTCTGAGGGAACACTTGGTGTGCAGGAGATTGACCGGTGTATGGGAGATGCCACCACCAACCCTTGGGAGCTGTGAAGCTGGTAGGGCCTTTGAGGGGGGTCCATGTGTGGCAAGGGGCCAGGCCTTTATGCCACCATCACCGGGCACTGGCGAGGCGGCTCTCGTTCCAGGGGAGGCTAGGTACCCAAAGGCTAGCAGGCAGCCATCTCCCCACAGCTGTCCTCACCACCCAGAACTGCCGTCTTTGCTTCTCCCACAGAAAGTGATTGTTAAACACATCCTTGTTCGCGGTTCTTGGGCAGTATGGTTTCAGCCTGTGGAGCTCACAGGCAAATATGGCATTGTCCTTAGTGATCACAGTGGTGCAGTTGACCCTGTTTGTGTCCTACCTGATGAGGACTGCAGGGAGTAAGGTGAGCCCTGCCTCTGCAGACAAGGAAGGGGCCTCTGAGAATAACGCCGAGCCACTTGCCCCTCCCAGCAGGTCTGCCAGTCCAGGAGGGGGCTGGTCCGCCATCAGACTCAGGAGCCCCAGGCCAGGTGTGCTGACACGGGCCACTTTGCTTCCATTAAGCAGGTCCAAGTGGGACACAATGTCAGGCACGGTCTCCGCCACCACCCTGCATCTGAGCTTGTCCTTTGCGCCGTCAGAGCTGGGGCTGCCTGTGGCCTAGGGGGCAAAGGGGGTTCGTGGAAGCATACGGGAAGACTGTCCCAGCTCTCACAGAACAAGGTCCTCACTGGCTCGCAGAGGAGAGCATCGTAGGCCAGGGCAGGCCAGGCAGTGCCATTTGAAGCCATAGGCCTTCCCTGGCCTCCCTCCACAGGCTCCCATTCCTATGAAGACCAGCCCAGAAACCCATGGTCTTCATGCATCTCCCCTGCCGAGGAGCCAGAGCTGCCCAGCCTGGCCTTTCTGCCAGCACCGCGGTCACTGTGTGCTTGTGTGTGTGTTCCCACAGGATGGCGGAGTGCGTGCCTGTGTTTGTATCTGAGAGGCAGGGTGTCAGAGAAAGACAAGGGTGTGTGGTGAGGCTGTGAGAGAGAGAAGGGGCTTGTGCGTGCAGATGGATCCAAGCCTGGGCAGGTGGGAACAGGGGGGTAGCAGGAGTGACAGTCTGTGGCAGGCGAGCAGGCTGAGCCCCCTCCACTTCCAGGTCAGCCAGAACAGCCTCACCATGCTGTCCTCGCCGTCACCGGGCCAGCAGGTGCAGACCCCGCAGTCGATGCCCCCTCCCCCCCAGCCGTCCCCACAGCCCGGCCAGCCCAGCTCGCAGCCCAACTCCAACGTCAGGTAGGCCTGGCCGGGGTGCCCTTCCCTGCCTGGCTCCCAGGGCGGGGCCTGCCTGGTGCCCCAGCTCACAGCCATGCTTCCTTTCACTTTGCTGCAGCTCCGGCCCTGCCCCATCCCCCAGTAGCTTCCTGCCCAGCCCCTCGCCGCAGCCCTCCCAGAGTCCAGTGACAGCGCGCACCCCACAGAACTTCAGCGTCCCCTCCCCGGGACCTTTAAACACCCCTGGTAAGTCGGGCCTGGGGTGGGCATGGCCTGAGGCCCAGAGCCATCGTGTGACCTGCACACAGCCCTGCAAGTTGAGGTGCTGAGGGTCGCCCCCTCACCCTCGCAAGGCCTCAGCTTATAACAGGGTGAGTGAGCTCTGGAACCCCTTGGAGCCCCAGCGTCCCACCATTAGGGCTTGTGGAGAGCTGGCCCTTTGTGGGCTGGGGCCGTGCTCACCCAGCTGTGTCCTGCAGTGAACCCCAGCTCGGTCATGAGCCCAGCGGGCTCCAGCCAGGCCGAGGAGCAGCAGTACCTGGACAAGCTGAAGCAGCTGTCCAAGTACATCGAACCCTTGCGCCGCATGATCAACAAGATCGACAAGAATGAAGGTGGGGCTGGGCCGGGGCGGGGGCGGGGCCCATGGATACCCCAGGCCTGCGTCTTAATGTCCCTTCTTCTGTCCCAGACAGAAAAAAAGACCTGAGTAAGATGAAGAGCCTTCTGGACATCCTGACAGACCCCTCCAAGCGGTGAGCTTTGCTCACAGACCCCTAGGGGAAGACCAGTGCTGTGCCCACGGCTCACAGAGGGTCCCTGGGGGCTTGGTTGGTCCAGCCTAGGACAGACTCTTGGTGCCAAGGTGGAATCCAGAGAAAGGGCCCTAGGGTTCCACTTAGGTGTGTCTGCTGGAGCTCCGAGCCCCTAGCCTGTACCTTTGCCAACGCCCAGCCTGTGCTGTGCTCCGGGCTGCTGCTGGGGCCATCACACTTCCACCCTGTGGCCATCACAGCCCTGCGTCATCAGGCTGTTGGCTGGGTGTGGGCTTGGAGTGGCCGTCACTGATCAAGCTGGCCATGATGGGCCTCAGTCCAACCTTCAGCCCTGTACCTGACTTGCCGGTGGCCTTGGGGCATGTGACTGTGCCTCAGTTACCTTATCTGCAAAGGGGGCAGCTGTGGCTCACATGCGTTGGCTGTGAAAATGAAACAAGACGGTGCCTCGAGAATCACTTGGATGGTAGTGGAGCACCAGGTTCTTGACACCACACGCACACCCCTTCCCTTGCCCATGGGTCACAGGCTGCTATGAGTGCCAGAGCTTGGGCAGTGCCACAGAGCTGTTCACGTGGACTGGCCTTTGGGTTACTTCCCTCTGCCCAGGGCCTTGGCTCAGGCTGTGCCCCTCTTCTAGAAGGTTGTCTTTGTTCTGCTTATTTGGGCAGAATGCTGGACACTGTGAAACAGGCCTGTTGGAGCCAGACAGCCCTCCAGGCCCTCTTGGGTTGATCTCTCACCGGAGTTACAGGGCCAGGGTGGGCAGGGGCCTGGCTTAGATGAGACCGAAGCCACACCAGCCTGGTCAGGGGCCTGGTTTCTGTCCCTTCCCTTGATCCATCACATGTGTGCTTTGTTCTCCCGACCAGGTCCAGACAGCTCCTGGGGGCGGGACCACCTTGCCTTAGACTCCCACTGGGGTTCTGGTGGCCAAGGCCCTGGGGCTGGCTCCATCTAGAGGAGGCCAGATGGGCAGTGGTTGGGATCAGCACATGAGAGCTACCAGCTTCCCCATCCTCCAGCACAGAGGGTCAGCCAGTCCCTCTCCCCACAGGTGCCCCCTGAAAACGCTGCAAAAATGTGAGATCGCCCTGGAGAAACTCAAAAATGACATGGCGGTGGTGAGTAGGGCTCCATAGCCTGGTGGTGTTTGAAGGGCTGCAGGTATTTCCGGGAGGTCAGGGCCCACCCCATAGCAACTTGGAATCGCAAGCTGGGAGGAGCCTTCACAGTCAGTCAGCGTGAGCAGAGGGGGCAGCCTGAGGTCCCTGGGGGTCTTCTTCCTGGTCCGGTCTGTGGTTGGGGGTGGGGCGGGACAGCATGCATAGGAACATGGGAGAAATCACCCTCTGGCTGAGGCTCCATGGAGGCTTCCTCCATCCCCTGGGCTTTTGTGCACGCTGCCATCCTGCTTCCACACATCCAGCATAAGGCCAGGCCCCCAGGAGAGGGGACTCCAGGGGAGGTCAAGGTTACAGGGGGTGAGAGAATCAGCCGTCTTTGTCTGCAGGGGGCAGAGGTTGTGGGGAAGCCACAGGAAGTCTGACTGTGACAATGAGGACCTTGGGGTCTGGAAAGCCTCCTCAGGAGTAGGCTGCTGACCCTCCCACCCCTGTCCTAGCCCACGCCCCCACCGCCCCCAGTGCCGCCAACCAAACAGCAGTACCTGTGCCAGCCGCTCCTGGATGCTGTCCTGGCCAACATCCGCTCGCCTGTCTTCAACCACTCCCTGTACCGCACGTTCGTGCCGGCCATGACAGCCATCCACGGCCCACCCGTCACGTACGTACAGTACAAGCTCAGCCTTGCAGTAGGCGGCGGCTGGCAGGCCATGGGCCACAGCCTAGCCTGGGGTGGTCACCACAGCCGCCTCCTCTAGGGCCCCAGTGGTGTGCGCCCGGAAGCGTAAGTTTGAAGAGGACGAGAAGCAGAGCATCCCCAATGTGCTTCAGGGGGAAGTGGCCAGATTAGACCCTAAGTTCCTGGTGAACTTGGACCCTTCTCACTGCAGTAACAACGGCACCGTCCACCTGATATGCAAGCTGGGTGAGTACTCGGGGAGAGCAGGGCAGACTTGGGAGAGTGAGCCCTGAACTGCAGCCCTGGACTCTGGCCACACGGGGCACAGAACAGCCCAGCCCAGTGCCGCACACTCCATTCACCGTGACGCGCTCAGCCTCCCACAGACGTGCATGCTCACCCCACAGCCCCAGGCCCGCAGTCCCCCATCCCTCAGAGCCTGCCTGAGCTGCCCTTCTGCACTGAGGGCTGCACTGAGGGCTGGGCCGTGAGCCCACACACTCTCACCTCCCCCCACGTGCCAGGGAAGCCCCTCCGTCCCGTCCAAGTGTGGTCTGCTTCCCTGAGCCCCTGGGGAGATGTGGAAACCGAAGTCAGAGTGATCTCCAGGCTTTACAGCAAGCCTCACCAGAACCTTCTGGGGTGTGAAGAGCTCTGTTTAGGAGCAGGGCTGTGAGGTGGGGCAGGCCAGGTCACACGCACAGCCTTGTGTTACAGATGACAAGGACCTCCCAAGTGTGCCGCCACTGGAACTCAGCGTGCCTGCCGACTACCCAGCCCAGAGCCCGCTGTGGATTGACCGGCAGTGGCAGTACGGTGGGTGAGCCAAGATGACGGCCGTGGGGAGGCCCAAGACAGACGCGGGTCAGCTCTGGGCAACCAGGTTTTCCTCCATGTGTCCTCCACCCCCCCACCCCACAGAGGCCTCCTCCTCTGGCTCCCCCTTTGTAGACAAGAATGGGTTGCCCAGCAGTCCCTTGGAGGGAGAAGGGTCTCTGCCCTCGTTGTTTCCCTTTGCCTGTTGTCTTACAGTCCCAGAGCAGCTGGGTTCAGTGGGTAAGGGGTGAGCAGGCCTGGTCTCTATGGCCCCTACAAGGCTGATGACATGGAGGCACAGATGGGAGCTTGGGCTCATGAGGCCTCTTCTGGGTGACATGGTTCCAAGCCAGAGGCCTAGAGAGAGCCCTGAGGTTGCGGACAGTCCCCCTGAGGCTCAGAACTGGCGCACAGAGGGCTGGTACTGGAACCCTGAGGCTGTCCCTGAGGGGAAGCCCTGGGCTCCAGGCCCATTCACATTCCAGTTCTCCACTGACTTGTGGGCCCAAGAGGAGAGCCCGCCGCCACCCCACTGTGTGGGAGGTGGCATCCCTGGTCACCGGGGCTGGGTAGAGTGCCCAGATGTCAGTCTTATGCCTCTAGGAGCAGCTCCTTCCCAGCGAGTCGCTTGCCTGGGCCACGATCCCAGCAGGCACCAGCCGTCCTGGCTGAGAACACGGCACTCACGCACGGCCTGCTGCTGTGTTGCAGACGCCAACCCCTTCCTGCAGTCGGTGCACCGATGCATGACCTCGAGGCTGCTGCAGCTCCCTGACAAGCACTCGGTCACGGCCTTGCTCAACACCTGGGCGCAGAGCATCCACCAGGCCTGCCTCTCGGCAGCCTAGCTGCCACCGCCACTCCACCTCGGGCCACCGGCCAAGGACCGTGGGGGCGGCCGGCAGCCTTGTCGGGGCCGCAGCAGACATATGCCTCATGTCGGACATTTCTAGGTGTTGGCTTCCTTAGAGAGTCTGGGCTTAGATTTGCTTTCCTGCTTTTATCTTCTGCCTTGGGGACCTGCCAAACATTTTCCCACACTTGTACAGGACAGGGACAGGTGGCTGCGGAGCTGGCTTTGTTGGGGGTGGGGGTGGGACTTCTTTCAGGGAGTCAGACACACCTCTAGTCCCTGCGTTCCTTGGGCTTCTGTCCCCGCGGCCTCTGCAGGGCCCACGTCCTTCCTCCACAGCATGGGGAGAACTCAGGATCTCGTTCGAGGCTCTTGTGTGTGTGCCAGAAAACACTTCTCCCTGTTTCTGTAGGGGAACATGGAAAACGTAGGAAACCCTCAAAACACACAGAGTTTTCTGATCACGGTTTTGGGTTCAGACCGCGCCACAGTTGGCATGGGGCACACTTGCCTGCAGCACGCCACAGGGAAGCTCCCGGATCCGGGGGTGCTGGCTGTGTCAAGAGGGAAGGCCGGCCTGTGGGCAGTGTGAGTCCCCTGCCATCAGCTGGGCCTCATACCTCATGGCATTCTCCCTTCAAGCCCTGGGGGCCCTTTCAGCACTGTGGGGGTGCCCGGGGAGCCAGGAGCATCTGGGTGGATCCTTTTCCTGGCCCCATGCCCACTAGTTGGACCCTTGGGCCCACTCTTGGGTCAGGGTTCTGTCCTCGGGACCCAGCATCCTCGGAGCCAATCCAGAGAGTGAAGGCTCCCTGACAGGGCATCGGCCAGCTGGCCCTCTGGCGACAAGAGGTTCCCCCTTTTGTATGTGCACTACCGTGTCATCTGTGGTTGCTATAATAAATTTATTATTCCCGTGTTTGTCATGAATTCGTCACTGTGTCGTCCCCCCCCATGCAAGTCCAGGGCCCACTGTCCAGTGAGGGACACTGTCAGGGCTGAGCCAGGTCCACCATCTTGGAGCTGTCCATGGATAGCCAGGCCTTAGTTCACCTCATCTGACAGTGTCAGTGCCTCATCTTGGTTCACCCCCAGGTTTCTGGCAAAGTGCTTGTTCCCCAAAGTGGGAAGAGGCAGAGATTTGCATTGAGGAAACAGCCAGTGGGGCTGGGATGACTGTCCTGGCTGGCTAGTGCTGACCACACCGTGAGGCCTAGGAACCTGCTGTTCTGGCACCTGAGGGGCTGGCATGAGGCTGTCACAGGGCGGAGCCCTCCCTGGGGAGGGTGCGCTCCACAGGGTGGCTCTGTCTCCTGGATGTGTGCCTAGAGGGCAGCCCCCTGTGCTCCAGGAAGGGGGTGTGTGCTGTGCCTGAGCTTGTCCTCTTCGGGCAGCTGCTGGGCCCTGGACAAGCCAGGGTGACTGCCTGGCAGGCCCTTCCCATTGCAGGGAGCAGAGCTAGGGGTACATGGCGGGACAGTGACGCCTGATAGCCAGTGAAGGACGAGACTCACAACTGGGAGAAACGAGCTTTATTTCCAGTCTTCAACAAGGAGGGTAATACTTACTTCATAATGTTTTTGTGTAAATGCAGAATAACAAAATACTGAGCAAGAAAAGTTTCTCAGTTCTGAAACCAAGTACTTTCTCTGCCATGAGTTTTGTCTGGAATCAGCTTGGCTTAAGCGCAGTAGAATTCTTTTGAAGTGCTATGTAGAGAGGGTTAGCGTCTCCAGCCGCAGGTCGTGGGAGGCCTGGCTGCAAGGAGGGTGCGGGCGAGCGCTCAGAGCACAGAGCGGTGCAGCCGCCGGCTCTGCACCACCTGCAGCCTTTTCTGCCGCTCCGCGAAGTTGTTCTTCAGGGTCTGCTTCAACGCCGGCAGGATGGCTCGCTCCGCCACCGGCATCGGGCTCAGAATCAGGCTGGTGGGGGTAGAGGGGGGTCAGCGCAGGCACCTTGGGAGCGCACGCTGGGCTGGGAGTGGGGCCACGGTGAAGGCACTGGGCCAGGGCCCGCTCTGCTGCTGTGCCCTGGCCCTGTGGGCCCTGGGCTTGGAGGCCGCCCCACCCCCAGTGCCAGTAGCACTCACCATTTCTTAGAGACACCCTTGGTGGGGACCTTGGGGAACTGCATGGCCCCCGGGTGAAGGGCCTCCTGGTCCCTAGTGAAGGAAGAGTCAGCAGTGAGCCCCAGATGAGCAGACCCTGCCGTGACGGGGTGGGCGCCACCCAGGGGCACGCACTTGGGAGAACTTGGCCCAGCCTCCTCGGGGGCAGCCTTAGGCCTCTGGTTCCCTTCCAGGAGGGACTTGAGATGCTGCAGCTGAAAGGCAAGGAGAAGAGGCGTGGTGGGCAGGGCCAGCAGAGGCACGGGGCGCTCCCTCTGCCCGAGCCTCACCTCTTGCGCCTGCAGGAGGTTGGCATTCCACAGCTGGCGGATGACCACCTCGCACTGCTGAAGCGTGGTGGGCCTGCGCAGGTGGGGGGGCAGGCTCATTGAGGGGGGTGCCCCCGTCACCTGCTTGACCTTGTGCTGGCTGCCCGCCACTGAGGTGGCCACTGCATTAGAGGTCTCCACTTCCTCGTCTCTGAAAGTCAGTGCAGCAGCCCAGAGGTGGCCTGCCAGGCTTGGTCTAACCACCCACCATCTCTGCTCGGAGCAGTGCCCATGCCAGTGTGAGGCCAGTGTGGGGAAGCAGGCATCTACCCAGGCTCCTCGGGGGTCTGGCTCCCTTCTGACCAGGGTGCTCCCAGGTGGGGGTCTTTGGGGCCAGCCATGACTTGGGCCTGTCCCTTTCTCTCCTCTCAAGGTACACTGAGGGTCAGACGTGGTTCGAGCTGCCTAGCTGCCCACGGTCGTGACCCCACTCCTGGTGGGGCTGATCCAGAGGGAATCTAAGGATGGTGCAGAGAAGCAGGAGTGCGTCCTGCCAGCTACACTACGCGGGGGACATGGGATTCCCTTTTCAGATGCAAAGTCCAGCTCACTGCTGCTTTCCAGGGAATTCCCAGAAACTTGGGTGTTACGCGAGCCTCGTCCTGCTCTGGCCTGATGGCTCCATGCCTTCCAAAGGCCGAGCACGTTTTCCAGGGTGGAGCCTGGGAACCCAACTCACTGTTTTCTTGGTGAAAAGCAAGCTAAATTTGGAGGCCAAATTACCTTTTCTTTTCTTTGAGAAAATGGGTTAGGGGCTGCTGCTAGCCCCTCTTCTGGGCTCAGGTCAGCCCAGGGAGCCTGCAGGATGCCCAGGGGAGCGGGGGAAGGTAGAGCCCACCAGATGGACGAGGCCTGAGTCCGTCTGCTTTCACAAGCTCGGTTCACGCTGGAGACTGGGCCACGTGGAAGGGCAAAGCAGCTGGCCAGTTCCAGGCTGTGAACCTACTGAACGCAACCCCAAGCCTTACTTGGCCTGCCCCTGGGTCCCAGCGGCCTTGTCCAGCTTGCCGTTGTGAAGCAGGGTGGCGCCTGGTGGCTCCTCTTCCAGCTCCATCTTCTGGGGAACGTCAGCTTTCGAGTCTTGCTTCTTGGAGGAACCAGGCTGGGGCCTGGCCTTGCCTTGAGAGTTTGCTGCAGGTCAGACCCAGACAGGGCCAGTGACTGCAGGCATCACGAGCTACTGCCCAGGTCCTCCAGGAGCGGCTGTGTGCACCTAAGGAGCCCCCGCCCCCACCTCAGCTTCCTCCTTGTAGAGGGGAGACGGTGGCAGCCTCCTCAGGAGAGCTGCTGGGAGACCAGAGTGTGGGCTGAGGATGCAGCCTGTGGGTGGTCCCGCTGAATGCTCTCACGGAGTCACGGTGGTGGAAGCTGGCTCCTTGAAGCAACTGAATCAGGGACACCCCCACCCCTCCCAGGCCTCAGTAAAAGCCACGGTGGGGGTGGAGGGGTGGCCCCACAATCTGTTCCCTGACTCTGAGCGCCACTTTGGGCAAAGCAAAACTGAATGAGAAGTCTGGGACCCGCCTGCACAGGTTTCCTGTCTGAGGACGGCCCATCACCCACCTGGGCCCTGCATGGAAGGGCAGGGGCTACTGCTGGTGAGGGAGCCTGGCCTCTCGGGGAGGCAGAGTGGGGAGAAGAGGTTCTGAGCTCCCCTCCCTCTGCCACAAGCGCAGGCTCCGTAGGCAGGGCCCTCCCACCTGCATCCTGCCTACTTTGGGCTTCTGCCGGGCAGCCAGAGCACTGCCCCCTCCCTGGAGGACCACGCGGAGGCTCAGGGGCCCTCGGGGCTGCTCTGCTCAGGGAGCCTCACTGCCCACCATCCTGCCCCAGGGTGGGCCCGCCAGCGGGCCTTGTGCCCCCATGTTGATATCAGGCCTTTGCAGGCAGGCATGCCCAGCTTTTTGGCCACCCACCACCCAGCCCACAGTCCTGTCCCACCCTGCCTCAGCCCCTCCTGGTGCTTTTAGTTCATGGCACCTGGGGGCCACCCTCCTTGGCTCCCTTCAAGCTGCCCCTCAACCCCCATCTTCACAGGGCCTGGCAAAGGTGCTCCCCCGAGGTCTGCCCAAGAGAGGACTGCCAGGGGCTTTCAGCTCCCTGGTCAGCACCCGACACTGGCTGTTCAGGCCCAGGGCCCCACTGAGCACCTGCCCCTCCCCCAGCCCTGAGCACACAGAGGATACTGGCACTCTCACCTGACACTGTTGAATTTGAGACAGACTTGATGGACTGAAAACTGGAATTGGAGATGCTGCCTGTGGGAGAACGCACAAGGGTCAGCCCAAGATGGAGGCAGCAACACTTCCATCCCAGCTTCCCCAGCGGCTTCTGCACACCCCCGTGGGCGAGAGGCCAGCCCCCCTGTGTCCACCTCCTGTCCTTGCAGGCCCCAGACCATGCGTTCAAGTGGAGCCCTCCCCCACACTCTGGTGAGGCAGCCCTAGACCCGGCCAATGCCCGAGGGAGCCGAGGCCACGGGAAAGGTGGTTTCCTGGAGGGCCATCCAGAAAGCAGGGGCTCGGGACTGAAGAAGCAGCAGGTCCCAAGTAGGAGCACAACCCCTCCCAATGTCCCATGGGGGACCCCCAGCACTGTAAGACTGGGACTGCTAACGGGCCCAGCTGCATGCCCAGAACAGCTCACTAGAGCTGCTCTGTCCTGCCAGAGAAAGTCCCACCCCTCCGTTCTCTGCGTTTCTCCCAGGAAGGAAGAGCCCTGGACACTCCACAGACTAGGCATTCCGGGCTGACACCACTCACCACGCACGCTACCTCCCCATGTCACACTTGGCCCCAAAAGTAAGGGGGTGAGCAAGCCCAAGACAACCTGGGCCTCCCGGGGCCAGGCTGGGGGACAGGCAAGGAGAGTGGGCCACAGATGAGGAAGGGCCCCAGAGAGTTGGCTGCAGGTCTCTGTGCCTCAGCTCCCTTTCCCCAGCCCCCACGGCCACTGCGGAGATGGCAGGGAGGATCCCCGGAAGGAGTGTGCCCAGAGCCACCTGTCCCAGGGTGTGAGAGAAAGAGGCACAGGGCTGGGGCTGCACTGAGCTGGCCAGCGTTTCAGAGAGAGCCTGGGGCTGTCCATAGCAGCAATCCAAGTAAAAGAACCCAGCAGGTTAGTGAGTCTGGGGAGGGCAGGGGGAGGGCCTAGGCAGCCCCCCAACCCCAGCTTCTCTGCCCACTGTCCATACTGCACAGACCGTTTAACAGCTAGACCTTGAGTTAGCATGAGGGAAGCCATCTTAGGGAAAGGAAGCAACACTGTAACCATGCCCCGAATCACTAGTCTCGATACATTCTAGCCTGCTCGCAGCCTCCATGATGAAGCACCTCTGGCTTTTACAAAATACATGATCTGCTAGTTCCAGGACTCTTGCTGACGTATCTCCCAGCAGTGATAAGACAACTTTGTTCTCTGAGCTCCCAGGAACATGACGGCCTCCAGAAAGAAAAATCCCGCGTTGGTCCCCATCGCGAATGACAGAGGAAAGAGACAACGTGGCGCCTTGAAGTTCGTCTCACCGGATAGTCAACCTCCCTCACCCCCTCCTTCCCTGCCCGTCTCCCCTGTGCACCTGCCTCAAGGTGCTGTGTGACTGGAAGACGGTTCTTCAGGACGCTAGTCTGCCATCTTCCGATTATGCTAATCGTATAAACTTTCCTTTCTCAACCACCGGCTTGTTTGCAATTGATTGGCACTAGATTGCGGTGAGCCAAACAAGCCCCTTTTTGCTCTGTTACAACCTCAGGCCTTGACTTCCCCAAAAGCGGCACCTGCTGTGCTTGAGTGCCCAAATTCACCGACACTGTGGCTGGGACAGTGGTGTCTGTCCAGGTCCCCTAGGACTCCTCCCCACTGGGACAGTGAGTGGGCCACTGCAGCCAGGTGGGCACAGCAGTCTGGAGGGGCTGTTCCCGCCATCAGAAACTTCCCATCAGGCACTCCAAGGCCTCAGTCTTACCTCTCTTCTGAGGCTTCTGATTCATTATTAGCTTGTATTGGAGATCTGAAAGCAAGCACATGCTCTCCTCATCATTTTGGAAGCTGCAGCCACTCTGAGTGAAGAGGATTGACTTGCCCTGCCCACTCCCTCCCTGCTGAGACCCTAGGGACCTCACTCGTGACCTTGGCTGCCGGGACCCCACCCCAGGACCCTGCCTTGGGTGCCCTAGGGCCGGGAACGCCCCTGGCTGTTCCTAGAGCCATAGTCCCTGCATGAGAGCCTCCCCCAAAGTCCGTCCCTCCATTGATGACATCTACAAGGCACCCCCTGCCAAGGGGATTTGGGGTCCAGGGATACAGGGGTGAGTCAGGATGGCTTAGCCCTCCAGGAGCCCCTGGCCATGGATGAGCAGACATGGTCAGTGCAATATCAAGTGACACCCTGGACAGGAGCTGGACAAGAAGACATGGGGAGGGGAGGGTCCTGACATAATGGACACCCAGTGAGGGGATACTTGGTGCTCCAGGTAAAGGCAGCAGGAGAAAGGAGGGCAGTGAGAAACGAGGCAGGCTTGGATGTGTGGGCGGAGGAGCCTCGCTACAGCTGAGGGAGGCCAGAGAGAGGACAGGGTCCCATCGTGGGAGGCCCCAAGTTCTGCTCCAGGTCTGGCCCACGGGAGTGAGGAGCCACGAGAGGTGTGAAGTTAGGAAGGCCCCGCCCTGAGGACACTGGGGGCACAGGCCGCAGCCGTCTGAGGAGGGGCTGGGTGGGACCAAGGGATCCCTCTGGGGCCGGCACGTCTGCCCTGGACCTGGGTGTGTTTAGTTTGTGAAAATTCATTAAGCTGTATACTTGTACTTTGGGGCCTATGTTTTACTTATAAACGAGGCGGACCTGACCCGGCCTGGAGAGCAGACGGCTGGCCGGTTACCTCGGGAAGTGACACACCGGGCCCGCCCCCGCCAGATGGGCGGGCCGCCCGGAGGCACCGCCCACGACGACACAGCCGGATCTGCGGCCCCGGGGCCGGGAGCCCGAGCCGGTGTGCAGGACCCGGGTGGCCCCCGCTGCCGTGTTCCTGCCTGCGGCTTCTAGAGCCCGTGCGCTGTGTCGGGGCCGGGGGCCGTGGGAGGGTTCAGGACACCTGGGGGGCCGGTCTGCGTCTCTCGGGTCCCAACCGCGGGAGGCGCGGACTCACCCTTGTTCTCCCGCTTCAGGTGCTCGATCTCCTCGTGGAGCTTGACCAGCGTCTCCGAGTGCTGCTGCTGCAGGAACTGCAGGCTCTTCTCCAGGTCCAGGACCCGCTTCTGCGCCTCGCTGAGCCCGGGCTGCGCGCCGTGCGGCCCCGGGGGCTGGGGGACGGCGGACGGGCGCAGGCGTGGGCGCGACGCCCCCCGGGAGCCCAGGGCCCCTGAGCTGAGAGGCCGCTGCCCGGCCGCCACTCCCGCCGCGCTCATGTCGCCGCCGCCGCGGCTGCAAGTCAGCTGGCTCGGTGGCCCTACAGCCCCGGCCTGGCGCCGCGTCCTCATGGAAACGGGCGCGACCGCTGGGTGTGGCGCGCGGTGGGGGCGGGGCGCGCGGTGGGGGGGGGGCGCGCGGTGGGGGCGGGGCGCGCGGTGGGGGCGGGGCCCGCGGTGGGGGCGGGGCCTGGGCCGGCGCGGGGCGCGCACGTGGGCTGGAAAGGCAGCCTCCGGCTTGGTTGAACGTCAGGGAATCGTTTGCCAACGTAGGCGTTATATTTAATTCCGTTCGCTTGTTGTGTTTTAATAGTTCACTTTTTGAATAGAGGGTACGATTACAGGCTCAAAAATCAAAAGGCAGGGACCGCCCTGTGGCCCAGTGGTTGAGTTCCCTCGCTCAGCTGCGGCGGCCCAGGGTTTCACCGGTTTGGATCCTGGGCATGGACATGGCACTGCTCGCCAGGCCATGCTGAGATGGCGTCCCACGTGCCACAACTAGAGGGACCCACAACTAAAATATACAACTATGTACCAGGGGGCTTTGGGGAGAAAAAGAAAAAATAAAATCTTAAAAAAAAAAATCAAAAGGTAGAGTTTCTACTTTTAATAATTGCAGAACCATTGTGCCATATGAAATGTGGACAAAATCTATGAAACAGTTGTCAGAAGGCCGAAGAAGAACAAAAAGCAGGCGGAAACGGGGCCGGGGAGGCAGTTATTGAAAGAAGAGCTGCCTTTCCCCTGAGGGCTCTTTCCAGTGAGCTAGACTGCAAACAGGAAGCAAGGGGCTTCTTGGCTGCAGAAGGCGGAGGATGGAATTCCGGAGGACAGCGCAGCTGAAAATTGAGGGGAGTTATAATGGGAAGTTTGTAGCCTCGGCAGGTGAGGAGCCGGAAGCTATAAACTCCCTTCCAGTGCGCTGCCGGTCTGAACTGCACATGTGGGTAAGATCGCAAGGATCCCAGGGAAAGACAGAGCTGGAAGGCGGGAAGAGCTGCAGAAGGGAGCCATTTACAGTCCACTCCGGGCAGACTGAGTTTGGAGTCCGACAGTTACAGGAGCTTGGTAAATGCCTCCGTTTGCCATTTAAACCCCACCCAAAAGGGCCACAGCTTGGAAATAGAGACTTTGTTCTAGAAATAAGGAATTTGCACTAAGGCTAAGGGCAAAAATCAAAATATATCTGCCCTGAGGCTGGTCTGGTGGCGCAACGGTTACGTGTGCATGTTCCGCTTTGGCAGCCTGGGGTTGGCGGGTTTGGATCCCAGGTGCAGACATGGCGCCACTTGGCAAGCCATGCTGTGGCAGGTGTCCGACATATAAAGTAGAGGAAGTTGGGCATGCATGTTAGCTCAGGGCCAGACTTCCTCAGCAAAAAGAGGAGGACTGGCAGTAGTTAGCTCAGGGCTAACCTTCCTCCAAAAAAAAAAATCTATGTCTATATTTATATGTATATGTATATGTATATCTATATCTATATCTGCCCTAATAAAATTTAAAGCCCAGCCTCCACAAGTTCACTGTGATCTTCCAGTAATTCAACTCCCTAGAGGACAAAACTCAACACTCTTCAGAGAATAACAGAACTCAGAGTCTCCATGACCCATCCTCCACGATATCTGATATACATAATAAATATGAGACATGCAAAGAAAAAGACAAATGTGATTGAGTCGAGAGAAAAAAATTCACATTCAGTCAACAGAAACAGATCCACAAATAATTCGAGATAATAGAATTAACAGAAAAGTATTATTTATTTATAATAAATATGTTGGAAATCTACAGAAGAAGATGGCTATAATGATTGAAAGCATGGAGAACTTAAAAAATGATTGGGAAAGTATAAAAAAAAAAAAAGGAAATCCTTACTGGTTCCCTGGCTGGCAGTCTCTCTCCCATCCACGCAAAGGGAAAAAGCTGCACAAACTGAAAATCAGTAACTCTTCTTAGCTCCATCAAAGAATCAGGTCGTAGGACAAACTCCTGCCCCCAAAATCGGAGAGACAGATAGGCGGATAGAGAGAATCACAATTTATTGGAGCAGAAACCTGTGCAGGCATGAGTACCAAAGTAGGTAGGAAATTCTAAACTGTAATCAGTGAATTGCTGGTGTGGCTCAGTGTGGACAAGTCTGAGAGAGAAAATCCAGGGAAGGCTGATCTTCAGGGGCTGGGAAGTTTTTGTGAGTTTAACCCTCCAGGATCCCTGCCAGGTTATCCCAGGGAAGAATGGAAAAGAAGCCCCTTGTGCTCCAAGCAGAAGGAAGGGGAAAGTAGCCATTTTGACATATGCCCAAAGTATTCTTTTTTTCTTTACAAGGCCTGCCCTCAAAAGAAACTAAGAAGGCCAAAGGAGTTAAAGTGACTGAGATTTCACCAGAGTCTAACTGACCTGGAGGAAGGGAAGTACCCAGTTCTAGCCCCATCCAGCCCCTTTCTCCACACAGTACCCCCACATCAATAAGGCACCTGTATAAAAGCAAGGGATAAAAGTGAAAGAATTACTCATCTCAGACCTTATTTTAGGAGTCTCTGGGAAAACCCAAAGACAACAGAAAAGACAAAAATGAGGGTACCAGAGAACATTTTTGCCTCTGACACCTATGACTATAGCAAACAATAAACATGCACTAAACCCTAGCCAGATAAACATAAAATTTCACATGAAGGGCTATTTACCTCAGTTCCTTCTACCCAGAACCTCATGTCCAACTTTCAACAAAAATTAGAAGGCACACTAAAAGACAAAGTCACAATTTGAAGAGACAGAGCAAGCATCGGAGCCAGGCTCAGATATGGCAGAGATGTTGGAATTTAAAATAACTATGATTAATATGTTAAGGGCTCTAATGGAAAAAGTGGACAACGTGAAAGAACAGGTGGGTCAGGTAAGCAGAGACATGGAAACTCTAAGAATGAAAAGGAAATGTGAGAAATCAAAAACACTATAATAGAAGTGAAAAATGTCTTTGATGGGCTCATCAGTAGATTGGACACAGCCAAGGAAAGAATCAGTGAGCTTGGAGATATGTCAATGGAAACTTCCTAATCCGAAATGCAAAGAGAAAAATGAATGAAAAAGACAGAACAGAATATCCAAGAACTCTAGGACTATTACAAAAGGTATAACATATACATAATGGGAATACCAGAAGGAGAAGAAAGAGAAAAAGGAACAGAAAAAATATTTAAAGCAATAATGACTGATAATTTCACAAAATTAATAAAAGACAACAAATCACAGATCCAGGAAGCTCAGGGAACACCAGGCAGGATAAACACCAAAAATTCTACTTCTAAGCACATAACATTCAAACTTCAGAAAATTAAAGACAGAGAAAATCTTGAAAGAAACCAGAGGGAGGAAAAGAAACTTTACCTACAGAGGAGCAAAGATAGAATTACCTTGGACATCTCCTCAGAAATTGTGCAAGCAATGAAAGTGTGGAGAGAAGTATTTAAAGTGTTGAAAGAAAAAAAATCACCAACCTAGAGTATTGTATCCAGCTAAATTTTCCTTCAAAAGTGGAGGAGAAATAATAAAGTCTTTCTTAAACAAAAATTGAGGGACTTCGTTACCAACAGAACTGCAAGAAATATTAAAAGAAATTCTTCAGAAGGAAGAAAACTGATATAGATCAAAAATTCAGCTCTATATAAAGAAAGGAAGAGTGTTAGAGAAGGAATAAACAATGGACAAATCTAGCCAGCAGAAAACCAGTAAGGACATAGTTGAGCTGAATGGCACCATCAATCAACTAAGAGACATGCTAGAATACCTCATCCAACAACAGCAGAATACATATTCTTCTCGAGCCACACAGAACATTCACCCACAGGCTACATTCTGGGCTATAAAATATACCTTAACTAATTTAAAAGAATAGAAATCATACAATGTATGCTCTCAAAACAATAGAATTAAACCAGAAATCAGTAACAGAAAGATAGCTGGAAAACACCAAAATACTTGGAGATTAAACAACACACTTCTAAATTACACATGGGTCAAAGAAGAAATCTAAAGTGACATTTTAAAATATTTTGAACTAAATGAAAATAAAATTTATCAAAATTTTTGGGATGCAATGAAAGCAGCATACAGAAAGAAATTTATAGCACAGAATGCATATATTTGAGAAGAATAAAGATTTAAAATCAGTAACCTAAGCTTCTACCTTAGGAAACTAGAAAAGAAGAGTAAAATAATCCAAAGTAAGCAGCAGAAGAAAAGAAATAATAGAAATTAGAGCAAAAATTAATAAAATTGGAAACAGCAAATCAATATAGACAATGAACAAAACTAAAAGGTGATTCTTTGAAAAGATCAATAAAATTGACAAACCTCTAGCCAAGCTAAGAAAAAAAGAGAAGACACAAATTACTAACATCAGAAATGCAAGAGGGGCTATCACTACTGATCCCGTGGGCATAAAGGATAATAAAGGAATATTATGCCCAACTGTATGCCCACAAATTTGATAGCCTACATGGAATGGGTCACTTCCTTGAAAGACACATCTACCAAAACTCACAAGAAGTAGACCATCTGAAATAGGTATATATCTGTGAAAGAAACTGAATTAATAATTAATAACCTTCCAAAACAGAAAGCACCAGGTCCAGGTGGGTTCATGGGTTAATTCTTCCAAATATTGAAGGAAGAAATTATGTCAGTTCTCTACAATGTCTTTCAGAAAATAGAAGCAGAGAGAATACTTCCCAACTCATGCTATGAGGTCAGCATTACCCCAAAACCAGACAAAGACATTACAGGGAAAACTACAAATCAGTCTCTCATAAACATAGTTGCAAAAATCCTCAACAAAGTCTTATCAATGTTAACCCAACAATGTATAAAGAAGAATTACATACTACAACCACAAAGGATTTATTCCAGGCATGCAAGGCTGGTTCAACACTTAAAAATCAGTTAGGTTAAAGAAGAAAAATCATATGATATCAAGAGATGCAGAAAAAGCATTTGACCAAATCCAACACCTATTCATGACAAAAACTCTCAGCAAAGTAAGAAAGAGGGCAGCTTCCTCAACTTGGTAAAGAACATCTACCAAAAACCTACATCTAACATTAT